TTGTATTAAAAATAATTGAAATTCAGCATTGAGTTTTATTATTTATAAAAATAATTGAATAATATATGAAAATAATTTGTAAATAATTGAATTTTTGGGAAATTTTTATTATTTATGAAAATAATTAAATGTTTGCGTAGAATTTTATTAAAATTTTTTTTTAAATTGAATTCTTTTAGGAATTTTTTATAAAGTAGTAGATATTAAAAATCATTGAATTGAGAAAAATTTTTGAAAGTAATTAAAATTTTGCCAAGAATTTTATTAAAATTTTTGAAATTTAATTTTGAAAATAATTGAATTTCTGAGAAGAATAAATTTTACTACTTTTGAAAATAATTGAATTTCTGCAATAATTTGCAATTGTTTCAAAATTCAATTTGTTTTTAGTGTTTTTAACTAAAATTCTTCTATAAATCCATTATTTTTAATAAAACTAGTTAAATATATATTAAAGAATTTAACTAATTTCAGAAGAATTTTAGTTTTGAAAATTTTTTTGAATCAAAATTTTTTATATTTCTAATTAAATTCATTTAAAATTGAAATTTTACAAAATTTTAAATCAAAATCTTTTAAAGTTCATCTATTTATGAAAATTGTAAACGCAATATTCTTTTAAAATTGAATTAATTTTGAAAATTTTTGAAAATTTAATTTTGAATTAATTTTTGCACAATAACTTTAGAAAAAAATAATTTTCCAGGATTCCGATCAAAATTCCCTGACTTTTCCAGGTTTTTTCAAGGTTTATAAAATTCCCGGACTTTTCCAGGTAATCTCGATAACTACTCGAATTTGAAACAAGTTTTTAGTTTCGAAATTCGAAACACTCAAGAAATCCTCATGACAAAAATCAAACTCAGATTCAAAATTCACGCTGTAATTTTCAAACAAGACTTATTAAAGTTTCCACTAACAGTAAACTCAACAACCTTCAGATTAACAATAAAACGGCGATTTAATTTTTACGAGTTTCTCAAAAAAAAAAAAGAGAGAAGGAAAAAAAAGGAAGAATACTAATTGGCAGTTTTCGTGGCCTGACATAATTTTTGCCGGGGAGAGAATTGTATAGCGTCGTGGGAGACTTGCACTGAGGCTGAATTATTATCTCAGGTAGCCAACGAGAGTAGGTTGGTTCCCAGGATTTCGATAAATTCCCTGAAACGAACCAAGAGCGCGGAGAGAAAATGACGGTTCGGTATGTGCGAATGAATTATGCATAGAGAGATGGAGGGGATTGTGACACTCAATAAGAATCAAAATATCCGTTATATGAGTTACAATTTTTCAATAATAATAATCGGTCATCGCTCCTTGCAACAAAATTAAAAAAAAAAAAAAGAAAATACATCTTCCCTGAATTTAGCGTCGGAGCCGAACGTTGAAAACAACTTTTTTTCCGCGAAATAAAAGAATTTTCGAAGAGAATAAAAGAATTATTCCAAAAGTTTTTGTTAATTAAAGAATCCTGGACATTTTTAACATGAAACAGGTAAAATTAGTGATATTAGTGATCTTAAAAACGAAAAAAATAGTTTTTGACACTGTGCGTCGACGCTAACTTCAGGGGCCTAAAAAATAAAAAAATTAAAGAAAATAAGAATACAAAAAATATATAAAATGATATAAAATACAAATAAATCAAAATTGAATAAATAATGAAAAAAAAACAAGTAAATTTAGACTCATGATTCAAAATCACACCCACGTATAAACATTTATTTCGGCACCAGACAACGGGCGTAAACAATCCGTTCGTTAGTTTGTTTCAAGTGCAGGTTCACTTTCATTCATCGCTCACTCGAGCCTCGTGTGTTGAATCTCCTTCTCTCTCTCTCTCTCTCTATCTCTCTCGCAAGAAAATACATTAATTTTGTTCGAAAATAGAAAATTAGTCAGAAATATCTCACTGTTTACTGGAAAATTTCGAAATTCAATTTCCAAATTAATAGGAAAAAATAAATGAAAAAAAAAACATTTTTTACAATGTAAGATTGGATTGAGAAACTACTTTGACATGCCCTTAAGAAAGAATTTGACAAATCGAAACAAAAGTTTCTCCAAGTCAATAGCTTTTGTTAATTAGTTGTCATTAAATTGAATTTTAATTTTAATTAAATGTAAATTAATTTAAATTTAACTATTAAATTGAATTATTGTTATTTTATTATTATTAATTTAATTGATTTAATTTTTGAATTAAAAACATTAGTAAATTCAAAAATATTAATATAATTAACAATTATAATTAATAAATATAATTAATAATATATCATAGGTAATATAAATAATTTGAATTTAATTAATTAAAATTTTTAATTAAAAACATTATTAAATTCAAAAATATTAATATAATTAACAATTACAATTAATATTATTATAATTAATTTAATTTTTGAATAAAAAACATATTAGTGAATTGAAAAATATTTTAATTAAATTAATTAATTTAACGTATTTGAATTAATTTAATATTTATTTAAATATTTTTTATTAGTCAATTAATTATTATAGTTATCTTTATAATTAATAATTAATTAAAGTGATATTTAACAGAAAAATTGCCAGGACCTTGACACACCCTTAAGAATTCAGGTAACATAACCTAAAATTTAACAATTATTTTTTCTTATTGACAAAAAAACTACCATTTTTATTCAAATGCAACTTTTAATTGTTTAAAATGTCCAAAATTAAATTATTCACGAACATGAAATTTAATTTGTCTTTTTCTTTCAAAATACGAAATTATAAAACTGGACTAATTTCTGTTTTGACAGTTCGTCAGACTCTTTTCTTTAAAATCATGGAAAAAAATATTTTTAGTAAAAGAAATTAATTACGAATCACAATTTTGATAGAAAAACCCGTTAAACAATTAAGACTGACAGTTGTCATTTACTAAGAAATACAAAAATTGTAAATAATAATAAATTATCTAAATGTCACCATTTATGAGCAAAAAAGCAAAATAAATATAAAAATGCAAAAATAATAAATAAAAACACAAAAAATAAATAAAATACTTAAAAATAAAAAAATACTTCAAAAATATACAAAAATACAATAAAAGTACAAACAGTAAAAAAATAAATAGAAATATACATAAAATATACAAAAATACAATAAAAATACAAAGAATAAAAAAAAATACAAAAAAAATAAAAATACAAAGAATACAAAAAAATAGAAATAACGAAATTTATATATGTAATTTGAAATTCGATACAATAATGGGACAAAAAATAATTCAAGGTACAAAAGTACATAAATAAAATTAGTAATTTCCTACTTAAAAGGATATTTCGGCTGGATTATGTCCGTCCTTGCATTTAATCATGATCATTATCATTCACTTGAACTCGTGTGTGTGCTCTCAGGAATTATGATATACAGAAGGAATTTGTGTGTTTTAACTGCTAACGGCTGACGCGTTTATTCACGTACAAGGGACGTGCCTCTCACAAGGGTCTCGGGAAAAAAAAATTATTTTATTTTATGCGACAAGAATATAATTTTGTCATCGCGAACTACATAGCGGGAAATTTTAATTTATTCGATAACTCGAAATTCACATTGGGTCATGCTCTCAAAAACGGACGATGAACCTCCTAATATTTCATATTGGGCTGTCAAAAAAATTAATATTCCTATTCCACCAATTTATTTCCCGAAAAAAATATCATAATTTAAAAAATTAATATGCGGAATTAAATTGAAATAAATATATTTTTTCGTAGATTAAAATTGTTTAGAAAAAAAAAGTTTAATTAATTTAATTAAATTAATAGTTTCGGTATAATTAAAAATGTAATATTCCTCTTTTCTTTCTTTAGGGAATAAAAATACAAAAGGACAAACATTTGTCATAACTAAAATATTTATTTTCGAAATGATTCGAGTTTTTCTGTTTTCATTGAAAAAAGGAGGAAAAATTCCGGATGTACGTTTAATACTATTATGTACGTCTGATGTCACTTGAAAAATGTAAGGTAGGCCAGTGAACACCAGACTATTATCTAGAAGTGGTATTCAGAGCACGAGACGACAAAAAGGAACCGCATTATAAGACTCGGTCATAATGATTTTCAAGGAAGAACGACATACAATTATTTCTTCAACAGAAAAAAAGAGAATAATAATCACAATACCAATGTGAATTATTTCTCAAATAGGTGTATTCACTAATGATTATCGGAAATAAAACTCGAACAATTGTTATTATTCCCCTCCCCCACACTAAAAAAAAAAAATAAAACTTCGAAATCAATACAAAAAACAAAAGAAAATTGTTCATTATTCGAATTAATCTTTGTTGCTATCAAAAACATTCTTGTAAGATAAAATCAATACTGCAAAATGTCAAAATTTCGCTCCATGTTTTAGTGCATATTTTGTTATCCAGTTATTGCGATTAGAGAAAATATGAAAATTCGCATTTAATTAATCATACAAGAGCAATTTTCGCGGACTTTGACAATTAACTTTACTTGGTATTGTGTGTGACACATGAGCAAATCAGGCAGATGGCGAATGACGTTAAATTGCATCTATAGATATATATGTTGTTATATGAAAAGATTCGCTTTTTCAATGATAACCATTTCAAAATGCCGAGGAAAATTGTAAATTCCAAAGAGCACGGTATAAAGAAGAGGGGTGGGTGGGTAGAAAGATGACTGGAAGATGGGAGATGGCCCGGGGCTATTAACCAAAAAGGCTTGTCTGGTAAAGTCCAGCGAACTGGTTTTCGGTGGCCTCGAATAAGCTAAAAGCTGCCTGACAAGGATTCCCAATATAGGAGGAGATGGTCGTTTTGTCGTATGGCGAAATGCATGCGTGTTTTCCGAGGATCGGCGCACAGAACATAAAGAGAAAGAATGAGAATGAGAAAAAGAGAGAGAGAGAGAGAGAGAGAGAGAGACAGGGAGAGAAAGAATAAACGTGAAATGAAACTTTGAATTTTAATTTTTTTATACATATAAAAAAACACTCACCCAGAGTTCGGATCCCCAGCTCATGGTTGCGGGACCGGGTTAACAGGGTACACAACACTTCACATGTAGCTCTACACCTAGGGCACCTTTGATCGCTTACACTGGACCAAAAAAGCATGTAAATCACACGTCAATTTGCCGCACACCTTCACAAAATACACACTCAAAACATGTCTTCCAAATAAACCACTGTCTAACCGGACTCAACTCACTCGCTCGACTGACTATTGAAAACCGCCCGGAATTCACCCACAGCGCCTCATAGCGGCAAATATGACAAGCTCTCTTCCAATTGGTGAGAGAGAGAGAAGGGGGGAAATTTAAATTTCAATCAGATTATACATCAGGTCTACCAACCTATGGCGGTAATTTTGAAACTCAAGTTTTGCCCCACGTTTACCAACATGGCGGCTACTCTTGGCGCCAATTTTAAAAAGGCAATAATTTTTTTTCAAAAACTAACAAAAAAAAAAATAATAAAAAGAAGTTAAAAATATATAAATAAATAAAAATAAATAAAATAAATAGGTCTAGAACCAATTCTATTTTGAGGAAACAATTGAAAAAAAAACATTGGAAAGAGATCAAACTTAAAAATGTTAAATTGAAAAAATGTTAAAAAATACTTAAAATAACGTGTCTCAGGGGGGAAAATGAAAGAAAAAAAAAGTGCCCCGAGTGAGGATCGAACTCACGACCTCCAGATTATGAGACTGGCGCGCTGCCATCTGCGCTACCGAGGCGGTGAAATAGTTGTAAAAATATTGCATATTTGAAATTTGAAAAAATATTATTTACATTTTGTAAATTGACAATTTTTATTAATTAAAATTGGTAAATTAGCTTTGAAATAGAAAACAATGAGACTTACGCGCGCTGCTTAATGCGAATTTTTTCAACTGATTTTATTAGTCAAGTTTAAGGATAAGAATCTGACTAATTAACTTTTGTTTTGACTGTACGTCAAATTCTTCCTTAACTCGCATTTTTCAGTTATTTTTTAGTGACAGTCAGGACAGTCAGTCATTTTGTCACTGACAATCAGTTACTTTGTCACTGAGTGCAAATTGCAAAAACAAAAAATCGTCGTCACTAATTGTCAGTTAAACCTCGAGTTAAACGGTTACTTTAAACTGATTCAAATTGTAGAAAAAAACCTCTCTTATCCAAACCGTAAATAATTTTATCCTAATTTTTTCGTTATTTTAATGAAACTAAAAGACTAAAATTGCTAACGATGTGTCAGATGAGAAATACATTTAAAAATGGTTTATCGCTTATGTAGAGAACAACGTTACCGACATAGGGTACTCAACCCTTTCAGTGCTGCCAACATGGAAAATTCATTTCTGACTTTGACAGTTCAATATTCACAGGATTTTTCGTTCATTCTTTCGATTCTTTCCCCTTAAAATTCTTAAAATATTAATAAATCTTGTTAAAAAAACAACTGAAATCTTCATATTTTAAGCTCTTCGGAATTATGACTGATGCCAATAGTTTAAAGGAGTCAATTAAACAATATGAAGCTCAGGTATTTATTTGTTTTTCAAGTGTCCCTTTCTTTTAACCTCAAAAACTAATTGTATTTTTTTTGTTTATATTGACGAATTCTTTTATTTAGTCTCTATTATTGGATTAAATCAATAATAACTAGAAATTTTATATCATATACTAATTAAAAGCTTTATTATATAAAATATACTAAATAAAAAGATTTATAGAAATGTATTGTTATAATTTTTATTTAAAAAAACAAATTTCAAATCTTAGTTTAATTTGTCTTATTTTCACAGTTATTACAAGTGCAAATTGCACTATCGGCAAATCCAAAGGGTCCTGATAAGGACAATTTACTAAGTCTTCAGTCTGATATTCAGGAACTTATTAATTTAACAAAAGAAAATTTAGAAAGTTTGGCGAAAGAAGAAAATGATGATTCAACGAACGAGGAAAATGATCCCTTAGATCGAGAGTATGCCTTATTTAAGGTAGTTTTCTAAAAATATAATTCCTTTAACTATATTTAAAATATTAAAATTTCCTCTAGATTTTTGTTAAATTTTATAAATCAATTATTTTTTTTAACTAATAAAATTCATCGCTGAAGTTCAATTATTTTTAATACACTTGAATTTGTATTTTTACAAATATTATTGTTTTTATTTTTATCTTTTATTTTCATAAATAATAAAATTTCCACTGGAATTCAATTATTTTTATAAATAATAAAACTCAATGCTAAAAAAATGCAATTATTCTCGAAAATTTTATTAAAATTCTTCAAAAGAATTCAATTATTTACTCATTGCAGAATTTCAATTATTTTTAATACAATTTTAATCGAATTCCTCGAAATATGTAATTATTCTTAAAAATTTTATTAACATTCGTCGAAAGAATTCAATTATTTCTAGAAACTGTAAAAAAATTCTTCTGAAGAATTCAATTATTTCCATAAATAGCAAAATTTTTCAGATTTACTAAATTCTTTTGAATATTATTTTAAAAAAAAATTCTTTACAAGAATCCAATTATTTTCATAAAATTCTAAAAAACAATTCAATTATTTTCAAAAAAGTAAGTAATAAAATTCTTCGCCGAAATTCAATTATGTTCAAAAATGTTTTTAAATTCTCCTCAAAATTGAAATTATCTTTATAAATATATATAAATATTTGAATAAAATTGAAAAATCAAATTTTCAATTATAATTATAAAAAGACAAGAGTATTTTAAAAAATTGAAAAAATTCTTTGTTTAATTCAATTGTTTTCCAAATTTTTAATTAAAATTATTAAAAAAAAACATTATTTTCAAAAAGTTTGTAGATTTATTTATGTTCGAAATCAAATAAATTTAAATTTGGTGAGAAAAAAAAGCGGGAAAAATTAGGACAAAGCCGAGAAATAACCGGAAATTTTGTTGAACGAAAATAGTAGACAACCTGTTATAAGAATTTAATTTTATGAAATATTCAATTATTCAGTAAATGATTTATTTTTGTATTTGAATACCTATTTCAATTCTCGTGGGACTTTTCAATAAGAATTGATTTAAAATTGAATTTCTGTTATAATTTTAGATAATAATTTTGCTTGTAAAAAATATTTTATTTAATCTTTATATTATAGGCAGAGGTAGAGGGTTTCTCGGGCAAATCAAAAAATGATGATGAAAACGAGGTGAAAACAGACGGAGCAAATGATATAGAAGTCAGTATTAAAAATATATTCAGTAAAAAATATTTAGATATACGGTGCAAGTTGATTACAGGAAGAGTTGGAGGCTCTTGAGGGAATGAAATGTCGTGCTCCTTATGGAAGCAGTTGGGGTGGTATTGGATATCATAATGCAATGGTTTGGTCAGTTCATAGAGAGGAAAACGAGAGTATTACCAGTTTAAACGACATCAAGGCAAGTAATTTAATTATATTTAATTACTATTATTATTTAATCTTTAATTTAATTCAACTTAAATTGACCCTAAAGGTGAGAGTCGTTTTTATGAATCCAACACACAAGGAAATGCTCCCATGTCCCTATTTTCTCGAAGGCGATTGTAAATTCTCGGAGGAACAGTGTCATTTTTCCCACGGAGAAATTATACCATTGTCTTCTTTACAAGAGTACAGGTAAAAATTCCTTTAATTTTTTTATTTTGTCACATTAATTTAAAGATTAATTCCAATATTGAATTTTAATATAATCTTGATACGTAATCTTAATAATCTAAAAGTGGTTTTTAATTCAAAATTTCAATTATTTTACGTTAATTAAAACGAAAAACGAATTAATATCCAAACAAATAAATATTAATACAAATATCTAAATTTTAGGGAACCAGATTTTTCGAATATAAAAATGGGCAGTCGAGTTTTTGCAAAACAAAAAAATCAATTGTGGCACAGGTGTGTCGTACTCAACGTTCCAAATAAATCACAAGATCTCTATCGAGTGAAATTCGAAGCTAGTGGAAAGATATTCGAAGTTTTAATTCAAGATTTGCTTCCTCTTGGTAATTTTCTATTTTAATATCTTTATAGAAATATTCAGGGTTCGAATTAGGTTCACAAATCCCGTAAACGTCCGTAAATTTACTTCAAGACAGTAAAAGTCAGTTTTTTTGAAAAAAGGTCCTTAAAGTCCGTAATTTCATTCAAAAAGAATGAAAAGTTCGTAAATTGTACGATATAATTTGAAGAAATTTAAACAAAATTACAAACGATTGCAGAAATTCAATTATTTTCAAAAATAATAAAATTCTTCGCAGAAATTCAATTATTTTCATAAATAATTAGTTTTTCACTGGAATTCAATTATTAAAAAGAACATTTTCAAAAAATATTTCGAAAAAAATGAATTATTTAAAAAGATTTTTATAAAATTCTTCTGTTCAAAGACGTTTTTAACAGGAAAAATATTTCTTTTTAAAAATAATTTCAATGAACAAAACTTTTAATTAAAATTTAAATAAAAATTTTTTATTTTCTTTCAGATGATTCCGATCTTCAAATGTCGGACACTTCGTCAAGCGACGATGACGACGATAACGATACACCGAATATGGAATATGATCGAGAAAAAATAATTCATTCAGCACTTTTGTCGGTCGATTCGAATCAACCATTGGGAAATTGGGAACAACACACGAGGGGCATTGGAAGTCGAATAATGTCACAAATGGGCTACATAACTGGCACGGGTCTTGGAAAAAAAGCCGACGGAAGAGTTCAACCGGTAGAAGCTACCGTACTACCAGCCGGAAAATCTTTAGGTTTTTCTTTTTTTTGCAAAATTTTCTAATTTACAATTTAGGAAAAGTAAATCATGTTTCATTAAATTTTTGAAAATTTCTCTTTATACAGATCACTGTATGCATCTTCGGGAAATGGCGAATGGGGACAAAAATCTTTTTTCTGCCGAGCGTAGAATGCAGAAACAAAAATTAAAATTGGAACGTCAGAGTCGGATACAGTACGAAAAGGAGCAGCGGATCGAGAAGAGTGACATTTTCAATTTTATTAACGATACTCTGAGTTCTAGTGGTGAGTTTTTAAAAATAATTTCCAAAAATATTATTATTATTATTATTATTAGTTATTATTGTTATTAATATTAATATTGCAGGCTTCGCACTCCTCTACTAAAACCTACAATTTACTACTTTTTTTACGTTATGCTACTATTTGGATACTTTTTTTAGATTTCAGCCACTAAAAGCTACTATTTCTGTTTTTTTTGACAATTTCCACTACTTATTTGCTAATACTAGAAATCAAAAAACCTATTTTCAAAAATTATAATCAACTTCTTTGAAACGATTCAATTCAAAAATTCAATTCAAAAAATATTCGAAATTAGTATTTTCATAAAATTTCGCAAAAGAATTTAATTATTTAAAAAAAATAATTGATAAAATCCATCTAAAATTCAATTATTTTCATAAATAATAAAATTACCACAGAAATTCAATTAATTTAAAATAGCATTTTCAAAAAAATTTCGAAAAAATCAATTATTTAACAAAATTTTTATACAATTCTTCACAATAATTCAATTACTTTCACTAATAATAACATTTTTCATAGAAATTTAATTTAAAAAAAAAAAATTTTGATAAAATTCTTTGGAAGAATTCAATTATTTTCAAAAATAACCAAATTTTTTACAGTAATTGAATTCTTTTTAAACATTTTAATAAAATTTTGCGCAATAATTCAATTATTTTTATAAAAATAAAATTTTTCAAATGAATTCAATTGTTTATATAAATTGTAAAATTCTTTGCAAAAATTCAATTATTTTCATAAATAATAAAATTCATCGCAGGATTTCAATTATTTTTAATACAATTTTAATCAAATTGTTCGAAAAATGTAATTATTTTTACAAAATTAATTTCAATTCCTCCAAAAAATCAATTATTTAAAAAATATCTTTTTAAAAATCTTGGGAAGAATTCAATTATTTACAAAAATATTAGAATTTTTCACATAGGAATTCATTTATTTTCAAATATTTTAATAAAATTGATCGAAAGAAATCAATTGTTTAATTAAATTTTTTTGAAATAATTTAATTCTTCTTTTAGATTTTAATAAACTTCTTCACAAGAATTCAATTGTTTAAATAAATAATTATTTGCAAGAATTCAATTATTAAAGATAAATAACAAAATTATTAACGAAAATTAAATTATTTTGAGGTATTTTAATAAAATTCATTGCAAAATTCAATTATTTTCATAAATAACAATATTCATCACAAGAATTTAATTATTTTTAAAAGTAATAAATTTTTTCTTAAAAATTCAATTAGGTATTTTAAAAGATTCTAATAAAATTGTTCGCAAGAATTCAATTATTTTCATAAATAATAAAAAATTATATTCAAAAAGAATATAATTAATAACAAAATAAAAATTTTATAAAATTCTTTGCAAACATTCAATTATTTTCATAAATAATTAATTTTTCACTGGAATTCAATTAATTAAAAAAACATTTTCAAAAAATATTTCAAAAAAATTAAATTATTTAAAAAAATTTTAATAAAATTCCTCACAAGAATTAAATTATTTTCAATACAATTTGAATAAAATTTTTTGATGCGGAGCTTATGACTTTTAAAAAATTTAACAAAAATTGTAGGAAGAATTCACTTGTTTTTAAAAATTGTGATAAACTCTCTTTAAAAGAATTCAAATATTTTCAGTATCTATTATTTTAATTAAATTCATTTTACGAACATAAAATATTTAAATTTCTTTATGAATAATAAAATTCGTTGCAGGAATTACATTTATTAGCAGAATAAGAAAGAAGTAATTATTTTTTATGAAAATTAAGAAAAAGTCAGGAAAGTAAAATATAATTTTTGTCAATTTTGTTAAAGTTTCTAAAACGAGTATTTTTTGGTCTTCAAGTTTAATTTTTCGATAGCTACTTTTTTTTACTACTTTTTTTAGTTTGAAAGCCAATTTTTTAAAAATTAATTATCGAGTGCGAAGTCTGATATTGTAATTTTTCATTACTTTTATTATTAATATTATTTTTATTATTATTAATATTATTACTATTGTAATTATTAATTGGATTTATATTTTAGCTAAAATGGAAAATGGACCAAGTTGTTCGAAGCAAAGTACCAAGATTCGAGAGGATCTTTCAAAAATAAAAACTATATCCGATAAAACGCTAAATATAACAAGTTTTCAAATTGCAGAAAATATTTCCAAATTGGAAAAAGAATCGAATAAACTGAAAGATTCTTTGACCAAGCATAGTAAAAATAGTCCGGCATACAATAATATTGTTCAACGATTTAATAGTATGCAAAATGAAATTAATAATTTACGAACATCCGAAAAGAATGTTGTTTCCGAGCAAAGAAATCGAAAAAATCGGGAAAAATTAACAATATTTTAATATAAAATTTGTTGATTATAATTCTTAGACCATTTTTTTTAAGTATTATTTTTACTTTCTTTTCTTAAAATGTAAATAGTGAATAAATATTTTACGCAGAATTTTAAATTTAATTAATTAATTAATTAATTTCACTTTTAAATTTTATAAATTTGTTACATAAACAATTTTACTTCAAAGATTTAATTTTTTCTTTCGATTTTAATACATGTTTAACATAATTTTATGAATTTTTTACTACTTACTACTGAGAAAATTTCCTACCAATTAGTAGTTTTTCCTCTTTGCTTTTGCTTTTACATTTTTTTTATTTAGAGTAAAATTTATTTATCATCACTTATTTCGTAAGGGTTAAAGAATTTATTTATTTGTTTAATAAATAAATATTTGACCTGATATGATTTAAAAAGATAAAATGTGAATGATCTCTAATGTGCAACCAAATCAATTTTATTGGAAATTTTTGAAGGACGTGAAGAATTTTCTTATAAATAGTCTCGTTTTTTGAGATAAAATTTCAAAACTTCAATTTTCCATGTAAATGGAAAAAAATTATTTATGAAATAATTATCATTGAACTAAAGAAGAAGAAAAATTGTTTTTCAAGGTAATTTCATACAAATATAATTTATAATTTTCTCCATTTTCTTTATAATATGAAAATGACTATTTTTCAAAAAACTTTTATAAAAGTAGGAATAAAAGAAAATTTTGGTCAATTTTGCCCTAATTTTAAATTTAAATTAAAATAAATTAAATAAATTTAAAAACAAATATTGCTAGTACAATAAGTTGAACTGAAAAATGTTTGAACTTTGAAACTTTATGTTCTGTAAATATTTATGAAACAAAGAAAATTAAATATATATTAATTTCTGATAACATGTTCCATTTAATGTTAGAGTTATCAGATGTTTCTGTTCATTATGCATTTCACTTGACTGGAAATTTTGTCTCTTTTTTAGTACATTAGAATTTAGTGTCAATTTTTAATTTTATTGTCAATTCATAATTTCTATGAAATTTGTAAAAGAATATCAAATTAAAAATTTATATTTTCTGTTTAGATAAACTTCACAATGGATAAAAGAGCTTTATTATCTACTGTCATTTTGTCATTCGTTATTGCATCTCAAGCGAAAACTCTAGTGAATATTGACGAAGGCTTACTTCAGGGGACGATAATTTCATCGAGAAATGGAAGAAATATTTCGGCTTTTATTGGTGTGCCTTATGCACAACCGCCAATTGGGGACTTGAGGTAAATTTCGAAAAATATACAAAATTAAAAATAATTCCAAAAATGTAATTAATTTAAAATTATTACTCTAAATTAATTTAATTCTTCTTTTTCAAGAAAGAGATAATTTTTAATTACTCTGTGAAATTAATTGAAAAATGTAGAAAGTTTTCCATTAAAAATATTAATTTAATATTAACCTGATTATTAAAATTTTTTGAATTGTTTTTTATTTTCAGATTTCGAAATCCGGTACCAGTGAAAAAATGGAAGGAAACGTATTTTGCAAATAAAGAGGAAAACGCTTGTCCACAACCAGTTGGAAAAAAAGTGAATGGAAACGAAGATTGTTTATATTTAAATGTCTTTACGCCAATATTAGAATTCGATGAATTGCAGGTAAGCCTAATTTTTTTACGATTTGCTATTTAGATACTTTTTTGTATTTGTTACTCTAAAAGCTACTTTTTTCCATGTTTGAGAAGTCACACTACTTTAAATTTGTTAACAGTTTAAATAAAAAAAATTATTTAAAAAAATTTTAATAAAGTTATTAGAAAAAATTCAAAAAAATTTTAATAAAATTCTTTAAAACGATTCAATTATTATCACAAATTTTTCGTAATTCAATGATTTTTAATATCTACTATTCTAATAGAAAATTTCCCTAAAGAATTAAATAATTAAAAAAAATTTTAATAAAATTCTACCAAAAAAATTATATATTTTCATAAATAATAAAAATTTCACAGGAATTCAATTATTTACAAGTTTTTTTTTATAAATTTCTTTGCAATCATTCAATTATTTTCATAAATAATAAAACTCTTTGCAGAATTTCAATTATTTTTAATACCATTTTAATCGAATTCCTCGATAAATGTAATTATTCTTAAAAATTTTATTAAAATTCGTCGAAAGAATTCAATTGTTTAAAAATTTATTGATAAAATTCTTTAGGAGGAATTTAACAATTTTAACAATATTTCAAATGATTCAATTATTTACAAAAATTTTTCGAAATTAAATTATTTTCAATATCTACTAACTTAAGAAAAAATTTGCCAATAGAATATATATAATTAATAACAAAATAAAAATTTTATAAAATTCTTTGCAAAACATTCATTTATTTTCATTAATAATTAATTTTTCACTGGAATTCAATTATTTAAAAGAAAATTTTCAAAAAAAATTTCGAAAAAAATCAATTATTTAAAAAGATTTTTATAAAATTCTTCGAAAATTAAATTATTTTTAAGAAAAATTTAATAAAATTCGTCACAAGAATTCAATTATTTTTAAAAAATTTTAATGAAATTCTTTGTAACTATTCATTTATTTTAAAAGATGTTGATAAAGTTCTTTATAAGAATTCAATTTTAAGAAAATTCTTCGTAAAATTTTTATTAATTTCAAAAGAATTCAATTATTTAAAAAAAAAATTTAATAAAATTCGTCACAGGAATTAAATTATTTTCAATACAATTTGAATCAAATTTTTTGATGCGGAACTTATGACTTTTAAAAAATTTAACAAAAATTTTAGGAAGAATTCACTTATTTTTATAAATAAAAAATTGTTCACAGGAATTCAATTATTTAAAAACAGAATTTTCCTAATATTTTTCAAAAAAAAAAAATTATTTAAATTGATTTTTATAAAATTCTTCACAAGAATTCAATTATTTTTATAAATATAAAAATTCTTCTCAAGGATTCAATTATTTTTATAAATATAAAAATTCTTCTCATGAATTCAAATATTTTTATAAATATTAAAACTCATCGCTGGATTTCAATTATTTTTAATATAATTTTAAATAAATTGCGCGAAAATGCAAAGCTATTCTTAAAAATTTTAATAAAATTCTTTATTTTAACAAAAATGTTAATGAAATTCTTTATAATAATTCAATTGTTGTCATTGTAATTATAATAAACTTTTTTTTAAAGAATTCAATTATTTTCATAAAAATAATATACAATTTTCAAAGAAATTCAATTATTTAAAACACAATTTTCATAAAATCTTTTGAAAAAAGTCATTTCTTTACAAAGATCTTTTTTTAAAATTATTCTCAAGAATGCAATAATTTGAAAAACTTATTCAAGTTCGGTGACAAAAATTCAATTATTTTCATAAATAATAAAACTCATCGAAGGATTTTAATTATTTTTAATATAATTTTAAATTAATTCCGCTGAAAACGCAATTATTCTTAAAAATTTGAATAAAATTCTTCGAAAAAATTCAATTATTTAAAAAAAATTGACATAATTTGTTTCTTAGAGTGTAATAATTATTTTCACTTTATTTTTAATTACATTTCTTAAATGAATTTAATTAACAAAAATTTTTATACAATTCTTCAAGTATTTTTAAAAATGTCGATAAAGTTCTTTACAAGAATTCAAATTTAAGAAATATTTAATTATTCAATAAAGTATTTATGTTTGTATTTAAATAATTAAATTCTTGTAGAACTTTCTAATAAGAATTGATTTAAAATTGAATAAAATAAAATGATTCATTTCCTTCAATTAAAATGATTAAAGTTTTGAATGATTTTATTTATTAATTTCAGCAAAAAAAAAAAAAAATGATTGAATTTTGAAAGAATTACTTTTTTAATTTTTAGAAATAGTTAAATTTCAAAATTCGTTAGACTGAAATCATTTAAAATCTTTTAATTCCTGTAGACAAAATAAATAGGTATTTAAATATTTATATAAAAAAATTATTTTATTTTTGAATGTTAATAAGAAATTATAAAAAAAATTTAAGTCGTCAAGTTTAATTTTTCGATAGCTATTTTTTTACTACCTTTTTTCTGTCTTTAAGCTACTTTTTGCTATTTTTTTAAAATTAATTTTTGAGTACGAAGCCTGGTAATTATTTATTTAATATAAATTTAATTAGAAAATTTAATTAGAATTAGAAATTAGAAAACTCAACGGATTTATTTTTTTTAGAATAAAAAAAATTTATTGCCAGTGATGGTATGGATACACGGCGGAGGATTTCACATTGGAAGCAGTGGATTAAATATGTACGGTCCGAATTATTTCATGGACAAAGATATTGTATTTGTCTCGATGAATTATCGATTAGGAATTCTCGGTTTCCTCTCAACTGCCGACGATACAGCACCGGGTAATTTCGGTCTCAAGGATCAAAATCTCGCCTTAAAATGGGTTCAAAAAAATATTCACATCTTCGGAGGAAATCCAAATCGCGTTACAATTTTCGGAGAAAGTGCTGGAGGAGCTTCTGTCTCGTTTCACGCACTCTCCGATAAATCCGATGGTATTTATTTCTTTTATTAAATTTACAAAAAATATTCTTTAACTTTTTCCTTATCGAAAATTTTATTTATCAAGTTTTTATTTATTTATTTTTAATTTATTTCTCTTTCAGGTCTCTTTCATCAATATATTGCGCAAAGTGGAAACTCGTTGGTCCCTTGGGGATTTCGTGAAAGGAAAGCCATCAAACTTGACGTGAATTTAATTGCAAAAAAATTGAATTGTCCAGTAGATAATTCCAAAGTGATTGTAAAGTGCCTGAGGGATGTAAATTATTATGATCTAGTGAATTTAACGAGCTACAATGTTTTGGATTTTCCCGAAATATTATGGCTGCCGACAAATGAAATTGAATCGAATGATGCATTTTTAACAGACACGCCTGAGAATTTAATAAATCAGAATAAATTGAGAGACTATCCAATTATAAGTGGTTCGGTCGCCGACGAGGGACTATACATTACTGCACGTGAGAAAATTTTCAAACTATTATTTTCAACAAAATATTAGTCAGGAATTTTTAGTAAAAGTACTGGAGAAAATTGAATTTTTATAATTCATAAGAAAACTCTCAATTTTGAATGAATTTAATTAGAAATCTTAAAGAACTTAGTTTTCAAACAAATTTTAATAATTCAAATTCTTCTGAAATTAGTTACATTTTTTAATATATATTTAATTAATTATTAAAAATTATGGATTTAAAGAAGAATTTTAGTTAAAATAACTAAAAAAAAATTGAATTTTGAACAAGTTACAAATATAATTGCAAAAATTCAATTATTTTCATAAATAATAAAACTCATCGCAGAATTTCAATTACTTTTAAAACAAATTTTAATTTCAATTCTGATAAAATTAGTTGCATTTTTTAATATTGTATTAAATATTATTTCCAAAATTTTAACGCAATTCTTAAAAAAGAAATCGATTATTTAGATAAATATCAAAATTCTTCCCAGAAAATCAATTATTTTCAAGAATTTTAATAAAATTTTTTGCAAAATTCAATTATTTTCATAAATAACAAAATTAATCACGAGAATAAAATTATTTTCAAGAGTTAGAAAATTCTTTTCAGAATTTCAATTATTTTTAATACAATTTTAATTTCAATTCTGATGAAATTAGTTGCATTTTTTAATATTGTATTAAATATTATTTCCAAAATTTTAACGCAATTCTTAAAAAAGAAATCGATTATCTAGATAAATATCAAAATTCTTCTCAGAAAATCAATTGTTTTCAAGAATTTTAATAAAATTCTTTGCAAAATTCAATTATTTTCATAAATAACAAAATTAATCACGAGAATAAAATTATTTTCAAGAGTTAGAAAATTCTTTTCAAAAAATTCAATTATTTTTAGATATTAAAAAAAAAAATTCTCGTCATGATTTCAAAAGAATTCAATTATTTAAAAATTTGTTGATAAAATTCTTTATGAGGATTCAATTTTAACAAAAATTCAATTATTCAATAAATTATTTATTTTTGAATTTCAATAATTGAATTTTCGTTGTATTTTTTAATAAAAAATGATTTAATAATGAATTTCCGAATAATCGATTTTATTATTTATGAAAATAATTGAATTCTTGCAACGAATTTTATTACATTTTTGTTTGAATAATTTTATTAATTTTAAAATTATTTTAAATGATTCAATTATTTACAAAAATTTTTCGAAATTCAATTATTTTTAATATTTACTAATTTAAGAAAAAACTTCCTAAAAGAACAAAAAAAAATTTATAAAATTCTTTGCAAACATTCAATTATTTTCATAAATAATTAATTTTTCACTGGTATTCAATTATTTAAAAGAAAATTTTCAAAAAATATTTCGAAAAAAATCAATTACTTAAAAAGATTTTAATAAAATTCTACGCAAAGAAATTTTTTTTATAAATAATAAAAATTTCCTGGGATTTCAATTATTTACAATTTTTTTATTAATTTTTTCACAATAATTTAATTATTTTTATAAACAATAAAACTGTTCTCAGTAATTTAATTATTTTCTTAAATAATAAAATTCATTGCAGGATTGTAATTATTTTTGATACAATTTTTTTTAATCAAATTTCTTGAAAAATGTGATTATTTTTAAAAATTTGTTGATAAAATCTTTTATGAGAATTCAATTTTAACAAATATTCAACTATTCAATCAATTATTTATTTTTGAATTTAAATAATTGAATTTTTGTAGAATTTTTTAATAAAATTTTAATAAAATTGATTTAAAAACGAATTTCCGTATAATCGATTTATTATTTTTATGAAAATAATTTAATTCTTGCAACGAATTTTATTATGAACATTTTTTTTAAATAATTAAATTCTTTTGAGAAATATTTATTTAAAACAGAAGTAAGAAATTTAAATTTTTATTTATTCGCCGTTCTTTTAGCTTTCCATGCGAACGCAACTTCGAGATTCATTGAAAATGTCATCAAAAAATGTATCAATGGAACTTTTAATCGTTTCTCATCAATCAAAGATTTATCGAAATTCGAGACAATTATCAAGGACTATTATTTTAATGGAACCATTTCTTCCAGTAAAAATCGGGTTAATTAGAAAATATTTATTATTTATAATTTATACCTAAATATTTTTTTTTACTTTTTTATTTTTAACTTTTTTAAAATTTATTATTTAAAAAAATAAATTAAAAAAGTAAATTAATAATTAATAATTTTAATAAAATTTTAATAAAACGCGAAATTAATTATTAATTTTTCTTTTTCTGATAGGTTTTAAACAACTTTACGAAATTTGCCGGCGATAGTGAATTCGTCTATCCCGTGGCAATTTTATCGGAGAAAATAGCGAAATATGGAAACAAGCCTATTTATTTGTACATGTTTGGCTATCGCGGTGAAGTGAGTTACTTGAATTTGGAATATGACCTCAGGGAAAATGTGGGAGTGAATCATGCCGATGACTTATTGTATCTTTTATCAGGAGAGCACTCTAAATTTATTTCCCAAACAGATGAATTTGTCATTGATTTAATGATAGATCTGTGGACATCGTTCGCAATAAATGGGTAAGAAAAATTGAATTATTATCTCTAGTTTCAATTTTTTAATTAAATATTTACTGTTTAATAAAATAATTAATTTGATTTTTAATTTTTAATTTTAATTCAATTTTTAATTTTTAATTCAATTTTTAATTTAAATTCAACTTTTAATTTTTAATTTTAATTCAATTTTTAATTTAAATTCAACTTTTAATTTTTAATTTTAATTCAATTTTTAATTTTTAATTTAAATTCATTTTTTAATTTTTAATTTAAATTCAAATTTTAATTTTTAATTTTGATATATAATTAAAATTTTAATATAATTTTCAAGGGAACCAACGTCTAAACAATTAGCCGATTCCGATCTTTGGAAACCTTATTCAACGACTAAAAGTTTTCTCCAAATTGGAAATGTGTTTAACAACACGGAACCTTGTGTTACCGTACAAAAGGATTATCTCACCGATCGTATTAATTTTTGGAAAAATAATTTTCCTCTTATAAAGCTCTAATTTTATTTATTATTCTCAGTTACGAAAGAATTTTTTTCTTCTATTTTGACCTTTTCTACTACATTTCTTTCATTATTATGATTTGAATTTCTATTTGAATTATTATTTACATTACTATTTGAATTATTATTTGAATGACTATTTAAATTATTATTATTATTATTTGAATAATTTATTTAAACTATTATTATTTAAATTATTATTAGAATTTTCATTTGAATTACTATTTGAATATTTATTATTTAAATAATTATTTGAACTATTAATATTTGAATTATTATTAGAATTTTTATTTGAATCATTATCAGAATTATCATTAGAATTATATTTTACGAACGAGTAAATAAGTGAAAAATAATCGTGTCAGTGTGAACGAGTACTTATCGAGACTAGGATAAAAAAAGTTGTGAAAATTAATTCAATTTCAAAAGAAATAATTAAAATAATAATTAAAAAATTTGTCTTAAAACATCGCAAAAATTATTATCCATTATTTCTTCTTATCATAATTATTATTCACGGAAGAATAAATTTTTGAAACAAGTGTAATATTTAAGGTCTCTTATCACTGATTATTAAGAAATACAATGTGATAACCTTTTGTTAAATATAAGATAGATTTACTAAGTCAAACTATACGTAATTAAACATTCATTGTTGTAAGATAATATTTATCTTAATGTGTTTCTTATTGTTCAAGTAATAATATTTCAAATTAAATATACAAGCTTTCAATGTTTGCAGGTATAAATATAAAATTTTGGAAATAAACATTTTTTTTCCTCAATTCTCCTGCAAATTAATATTTTGCTTTTCCAATTTAAATTTACTTTGCTTAACAAATTTAAAGTAATTTAATGATGAATATCAACACTCATGGATGGTCATTAGTGACAATATTGAATTTATTATTGGTATCGTCATTGAATGCGGAAACTTTGGTAAAAATTTCTCAGGGATTTCTCAATGGGACAATTTTTCATGGACATGGAAGAAATTATTCGGCATTTATTGGAATTCCGTATGCTGCACCTCCGATTGGAAATCTTAGGTAAATAAAAAATTTAGTAAAAACTTTAGTTTCTAAATTTTATATTAAATTATTTTTATATTAAATAATTAGTCAATTGAATAATTACAAGGTTGCCACAAAAATTTAATTTTGTTTTTTCCTTACTTCCAGACAAAATTTAGACTTTCTATCTGACCCTAAAGAATATTCTGATTCACTCTAAAAATTATTAGATACTCAAAAAAAAAATGTTCTATTACATTTGAATTTCCTTAATTGGAAAATTATTCAAAAGCACCAATGACTTCATTTTTAAATAAATATTTAATCATTATTATCCTTCCGTAGAAATTAAAATTCTTCAAAACATTCAAATTCAAATCTTTTGATATTCAATAACTGATCAAAATATTATTGTAAAACATGAAGAAATTGATAATTTCTTGATTTCTTCATGTTTAATAATAATTTACATTATTATAAAATTTTCCAAAAAAAATTTAATTATTTACAAAAATCCTAATAAAAGAATTCAATTATTTTTACAATTAGTAAAATTTCTCAAAAGAATTCAATTATTTAAAAAAAATGTAATAAAATTCGTTGTAATAATTCAATTATTTTTATAAATAATAAATCGATTATTCAAAAATTCATTTTTAAATCAATTTTTATTAAAAAATTCTACGAAAATTCAATTATTTAAATTAAAAAAAAAATAATTTATTGAATAGTTGAATTTTTGTTAAAATTGAATTCTCATAAAGAATTTTATCAACAAATTTTTAAATAATTGAATTCTTTTGACGAATTTTAATAAAATTTCTAAGAATAATCACATTTTTCAAGGAATTTGATGAAAATGGTATCAAAAATAATTAAAATCTTGCAATGAAAAAAGCTTTTTGAAGAAAATTAGTTTAAAAGAATTTTTTATTAAAAATATTAATAGCGGACTAAAGTCATTCGCTAACAGTATGAACAATTCAAATTTTCAAAGAATTTAATTTTAAACCTTTACAAAATTCATTTATTTCTAAAAATTGCAATTATTAGTAAATTCTCAAAAATTCAATTTTTATCTAAAACTTTAACTGAAATTAATTTTAAAATTATATAATATTATATAATATATAATATAATTATTGCGAAGAATTTTATAAAAAAATTTTAAACAATTGATTTTTTTTTTTTTGAAAAAATTTTTGCAAATTCTACTTTTAATATTTAAATTCCTGTGAAATTTTTATTTTTTTGAAAAATAATTCAATATTCGTATAGAATTTTATCAAAAGTTTTGTTTAATATTTTAATTCTTTTGGGAAATTTTATTAAAATAGTATGATATTAAAAATCACTGAATTAAACAAAATTTTTGAAAGTTAATGAAATTTTGCCATGATTTTTATTAAAATTTTTGAAAATAATTGAATTTTATTATTTTATTTATCAATTATTTTGAAAATAATTGAATTTTTGTGATGAATACTATTATTTATTAAAATAATTGAATTTTGCAGTGAATTTTATTAATATTCCTGAAAATAATTGAATTTTGTTATTTATAAGAATAATTAAAATGTTGACAATTTTTTTTTAGATTTTTTAAAAATAATTGAATTTTTGCTAAGAATTTTATTAATTTTAAAAATAATTGAATTCTTTGCAAGAATACTATTATTTATGAAAATAATTGAATCTTACAATGAATTTTATAAAAATTTTCTAAATATAATTGGATTTCGGCGATGAATTTTGCTATTTATAAAGATAATTGAAATGTTGATGAGAATATTTTATGCAAATTCTATTTTTAATAATTGAATTCCTGTGGAATTTTTATTTTTTTGAAAAATAATTGAATATTTGTGTAGAATTTTATCAAAATTTTTGTTTAATATTTTAATTCTTTTGGGAAATTTTATTAAAATAGTAAAATATTGGAAATCATTGAATTAATAAGAAAAATAATTGAAAATAATTGAATTCTTGGGATGAAAACTATTATTTATGAAAATAATTGAATTTTGCAATGGATTTTATTAAAATTTCTGAAAACAATTGAATTTTGTTATTCATTTATAAAGATAATTGAAATGTTGACAATTTATTTTTGAATTTTTTGAAAATAATTGAATTACTGCGAAGAATTTTATTAATTTAAATAAAAATTGAGTTCTTGTGATGAATATTGTTATTTATGAAAATAATTGAATTTTACAATGAATTTTATAAAAATTCCTGAATGTAATTGAATTTCGGCGAAGAATTTTGCTATTTATAAAGATTATTGAAATTTTGACGAGAATTTTTAAAAAAAGTTTGAAAATAATTGAATTTCTGAAAAGAATTTTTAAATTCATTAAGATAATTGAATTTTTTAAAGAATTGCGTCAAAATTTAAAAAATTGAAACTAATTGCAATTTGCAACAGAATTGAAATTAAAATTTGAAAAAATACTTCATTAAATGATTTATAAGTAATAACTTTATGGCAGTTCTTCAATAGAATTGATTTATTTCAAATAAATTGTTTGGCAGAAATAGAAAAGATTGAAGGTTTTTTTTAAGAATTTGTGATAATTTCATAGTTTTCGAGGCAAACAAAAAGAAACAAAAATTCAGAATTTTCTTATAAATTTTAAACATTTAATTTTCTTCAGTACTTTTAATAAAAATCCCTAAATTTTCCCTGATTTCCCTGACTTGTGGCAACCCTGAATTAATTGAATAAATAAATAAAATATTTAGGTATAAATTATATAAATAATATATTTTTGTTAAATAATTAATTAATTAATTAATTTCCGTTAATGCAGATTTCGAAGTCCTGTGCCCGGAAAATCCTGGGATGGAGTACGTTCAGCGACGGAAACTCCAAACGAATGTCCTCAATTACTATTAAACGAGAATGTAATCGGAAACGAAGATTGTCTCTATTTGAATGTTTATTCGCCAATCGTCAATTTTAATTCGACACTGGTAAGTTAAAATTTCCATTTTCTAATTTCATACCCAATATACGAAATAAAAAAAAATTATAAATATTTTCAGGAGAAAAACATTCATAATGGTTCATTATTACCCGTTATGGTCTGGTTTCATGGAGGAGGATTTTTCAGCGGAAGCAGTGATCCGAAAGTTTTCAATCCAAACTATCTTTTGCAAAAAGATATTATTCTCGTCACAATGAACTATCGGCTGGGTGTTTTGGGTTTTTTTTCCACTGGCAATGAATTTGCCCCAGGAAATTTTGGACTCAAGGATCAAGTCATGTCTCTCAAGTGGATTCAAAAAAATATTCAAGCCTTTGGAGGAGATCCTCAGCGCGTTACTATTTTTGGTTCAAGCGCCGGCGGTCTTTCTGTTAATTTACACGCACTGTCAAATGCAACTCATGGTAATTTTTCTAGTTTTCTATTTAATTTTTTATTTTTATTTTATTTATTTATTTTTATTTTATTTATTTATTGTAATTTAATTCAACAGTCGTAAGACCAATTTTGTTTACTAATCAAGAAATTATTATGTTTATAATTGTTTAATTTTAACAGGACTATTTCATCAATACATCATTCAGAGTGGAAGCGCAATAACTCCCTGGGCTTATAAGGACAGAAATTTTTACAAATCGTTTTCAAAAACATTTGCTGATTCAGTTGGATGCGGAAAAGATGATGTGCAAGATTTAGTTGAATGTTTACGAGAAACGGATGTCGAAAAATTAGTAAAGCAAGTGAAATACGAGCATTTTGATTTTCCAATGTTACATTGGACGTCAACCGACGAACCAGAATCAGAAGAGGCATTTTTAACCGACAGTCCTCAAAATCTAATCAAACAGAATAAAATGAAGGATTTACCATCGATTTACGGTAGTGATGTCGACGAGGGAATGATAATAACACTACGTTAGTTTTCTTTTTCAAAACGTTACTAATTCTATTATTTTACTCATCATTACAGTTGATTGTGAAAATTTATTTTTTCCAGCCTTTTATATTAATAAAGCGCCAATATCAATGATTAAAGCCTTTAAACGAACCATCAATTTAACGTCAAATCATTATGCGAAACCTGAGGAAATATCCAATTTTGAAAAAATGATTCAGAATTTCTACGCAGCTGATAAAAGCAAGGTAAATTTTTAATCTGACTTAAAAATTAGACAAATTTTAATTTAATTAGTAAAATATTTTAATAAATTAGTAAATATTTATCTAATTAAATTTTCAAGTTGGAAAATATTTAAGTTCGAGAATTATTCAAGAAAATCGCTATTCTTTTTTTCCGACAGCTTCTTGAGAATTACACGAAATTCGTCGGCGACAGTGGTTTTCTTTATCCGAAACTTCTACTAATCGAAAATACTGCGAAAAATATCAAGAGTCCAGTTTACTTTTATTCATTCGGATATCGAGGAACTGTGAATTTAATATTCTTCGAAAGAAACGTTACGGAAAATTTTGGAGCTCCCCATGGCGATGATATTCTCTATCTTTTTGCCATTGTACCGAAAAATTTTGTTTTAGAAAAAGATGAAAAAATGATTAATTTAATGACTGATCTCTGGACAAATTTTGCTATAAATGGGTAAGTTTTCCTTTTTTCCTGCCTAATATTATATAAAAAGGGGCTGATAGCAAAAGAATTCTTTATTTAAAAAAAAATTGATAAAATTCATCCAAAATTCAATTATTTTCATAAATAATAAAATTTCCACAGGAATTAAATTAATTTAGAATAGCATTTTCCAAAAAAATTACGAAAATCTCAATTATTTAACAAAATTTTTATACAATTCTTCACAATAATTCAATTACTTTCACTAATAATAACATTTTTCCTTAAAACTCAATTTAAAAAAAAAATTTTTTTGATAAAATTCTAAGTCAAGAATTCAATTATTTTGATAAATAATAAAACTCATCATTTTCGTAATAATCATTATATTTCGAAAAAATTAATTATTTAAAACAATGTTTATAAAATTTTTATAGAAAATTCAATTATTTTCAAAAATATCAAACTTTTATACAGAAATTCAATTCCTTTTAAACATTTTAATAAAATTCAATTCTTTTTGAAAATTTTAATAAAATTCTTTGCAACTATTCAATTATTTTCAAAAATAATAGAATTCATCAAAAGAATTCAATTATTGTCAAAAGTATTAAAATTCTTCGCGTAAATTCAATTATAATCAAAAAATTTTATCAATTCAATGATTTTCAATATCTGCTATTTTCATAAAATTTACACAACAGAGTTAAATTATTTAAAAAAATGTTTTTTTTTTATAAAATTCTACGCAAACAATTAATTACATATTTTTATAACTAATAAAAATTTCACAGGAATTAAATTATTTAAAATAAGATTTGATTAAAATTTTTCGAAAAAAATTAATTATTTCAACAATTTTTAAAAAAATCTTCCCAAGATTTCAATTATTTTTACAAATAGTAAAATGTTTCACTGGAATTAAATTATTTATAAAATTTTAATAAAACTCTTCAAAAGAATTAAATTATTTTCACAAATAATAAATTTTTTTTACTGGAATTCAATTATTTTCATAAATAATATTTTTTACAGAAATTTTACAGATTTTACAGATCATAAGTAATAAAATTTTCTTTAGGAATTCAATTATTTTAATGAATAATAAAACTTATCGCAGAATTTCAATTATTTTTAATGGAATTTTAAACAAAATCATTAAAAAATGTAATTATTCTTAAAAATTTAATTTCAATTCCACAAAAAGATCAATAATTTTAAAAAAGAGTATTTTTAAAACTCTTTGGAAGAATTCAATTATTTACAACAATATTAGAATTTTTCATAGGAATTCAATTATTTTCTAATATTTTTATAAAATTGTTCAAAATAAATCAATTATTTTACATACAATTTTAATTAAATTTTTTTGATATAATTCAATTATTCTTTTAGATTTTAATAAAATTCTACCCAAAAATTCAATTATTTACATAAATAATAAATTATTCCTGAAAATTCAATTATTTTGAGGCATTTTAATAAAATTCTTTGGAAAATTCAATTATTTTCATAAATAACAATATTCATCACAAGAATTCAATTACTTTTAAAAGTAGTAAATTTCTTCTTGGAAATTCAATTATTTTCAAAAGTCTTATAAAATCGTTTGCAAAAATTCAATTATTTTCAAAAATAACAAAATTTTTCACAGTAATATAATTCTTTTTAAACATTTTAATCAAATTTATCGCAATAATTCAATTATTTCATAAATAATAAAATTCTTTGCAGGATTTCAATTATTTTTAATGCAATTTTACAGGAAACGCACAAAAAATGTAATTATTCTTAAAAATTTTATTTCGATTTCTCGAAAAAATCAATTATTTAAAAAAATGTTTTTTAAATTCTTTAGAAGAATTCAATTATTTACAAAAATATTAGAATTTTTTACAGGAATTCAATTAATTTAAAATATTTTAATAAAATTGTTCGAAAGAAATCAATTATTTTAAATACAATTTTAATTAAATTTTTTTGAAATTATTCAATTATTTTTTTAGATTTTAATAAAATTCTTCCCAAGAATTCAATTATTTACATAAATAATTCTTCGAAAGAATTCAATTATGTCGATAAATAACAAAATTATTCCCGAAAATTCAATTATTTTGAAGCATTTTAATAAAATTCTTTGAAAAATTCAATTATTTTCATAAATAGCAATATTCCTCACAAGAATTCAATTATTTTTAAAAGTAATAAATTTTTTTTGGAAATTCAATTATTTAAAAAAAATCTAATAAAATCGTTCTCAAGAATTCAATTATTTTCATAAAAATTTAATAACATACCACACAGACATTCAATTATTCTCAAAAATTTTAATTGAATTCTTTTATAAAAGTGAATTATTTTGAAAAACTTTTCGCAATTCAATGATTTTCAATATCTACTATTTTCCTAAAATTTCCAAACAGAATTCAATTGTTTAAAAAATTTTTTGTAAAAATCTTTGGAAAAATTCAATTTTTTTCATGAATAATAAAAATTTCTCAGGAATTCAATAATTTAAATTAGAATTTTAATAAAATTAGTCGAAAGAAATTAATTATTTAAAAAATTTTTATATAAAATTCTTCGCAGGAATTAAATTATTTTTCTAAATATTTAAATGCTTTCATGAATAATAGAATTCGTTGCAGAAATTCAATTTAATCGCAGTTTAAGAAAGAAGTAATTATTTTTAATGAAAATTAGGAAAAAGTCAGAAAAATAAAATATAGAATGAAATTTTTATCAGTTTTGTGAATTGTCTAAATCGAGTTTTTTTGGTCATCAAGTTTAATTTTTCGATAGCTACTTGTTTACTACTTTTTTTTAGTTTGAATGTTACTTTTTTAAAATTAATTATCGAGTGCAAAGTCTTAATAAGTGATTTTTGGGAGCAAAATCGGGTTAAATTATCGATAAATTATTATTAATTATTTATTTATCGATAAATTTATTGTACTGGAATGCAAAATATTTTAATTGTTATAAAATAAGTCTTGTTTTTTACTATTTTTAATATTTTTTAAGCATTAATATTAAAAACATTAATAACTCGTTTTTTTCCCAAGTCACTTATTCCACTTTTGCTCCTGTTATTATACATATTTTAAACCAGTTTTACTATCGGCCCCTCAATTTAATAATCGTAAGTTTTTTATTCCATTAACAAATTATCTGCATTCATTTATGTTTGTTTCGAAAATTAATTTTTGTGCGTTACTGTCATTTTTTAATTTTTTAAACGTCAAACTTTTCAATGATTCTGTCAAAATTAACAATACGCATGACTTTTCCAAAATTTTAATTATATACAATTTGGGGTCATTCACAAACTACGTCACGCTTTTTCGGACTAATTTTTATCCCATCTCCTCCCTTCGTCACATTTTTTATATACAAAATAAAATTTTTTCCTCATTTCGTCACACACAACTTGACTCCTTTCCACACCTCGGAGTGTGACGTAGTTTGCGAACGACCCCAATTGTATTTAATTTAATTTTTAACTTAATAATTAAAAGGTATGTTTCTATAATTCAATGTTAACGTTATTTTAATATATTGTTAAAAAATATTTGATATAATTTATTTTTAATTGAATTTTATTTTTATTTCGCTAGTATTTATAATAATAAATAAATATTCATTTGCAAATTTTACATTTTTCAGAAAGCCAACTTCTGGAAGTTTAGAAAATCCCAACATATGGAAACCTTATCAGGAAAATAACAGTTTTCTACAAATTGGAAATATTAATAATCACTTCGAACCAAGTGTTACACTCGAAAATGTTTATTTCCCAGAGCGAATGAATTTTTGGAAAAAAAATTTTCCATTAATTTAAAATTCAGCGCAAAAATTCATAAACTAAAAAGGGATAATTTTATTTCACTGTTTAAATTTGCATCAGAAAAAAGATTTTTCGATAATAACAGGATATTTTTGATAATTAGCATAAGAAACAGATTTTTAATGTTTATAATCATGATCCAAATGTAAAAGGAGAAATGAGATTAAAATAAAATTTTGAATTAAATATGAGATAAAACTGAAATTTACTTTTAAGAGTTTTAAGTAAAATAAAGAGGGAATCGTTAATTTATATTATGAGTAATCTGTTAATTTAATATTAATCGTTTTCATTATATAAAGTCTATAAATTCAAAAACTGATATTATAAATTATGAGAGAGCAATTTGAGAGAACAATTTGTAGATTGATGAGTAATTACAAATTGTTATAAAACTTCTTGGGTTAAAGGTCTTTCAGTTGTTACTATCACGAGACAATATTCTGCTAAACTATTCCACTATAAATTCTATACGATTCGCGACTACTTGAAATAAATAATAAATTTCTTTTATTTCTCTTGCAGTATCAACAGAAAAAAAATGCTGCAATTAATATTCAAATTTATTATTTTACAATTCTTTTTCTTTGAATTCTTACAAGCTGAACCTGTTGTGAAAATTGATCAAGGAATTCTTAGTGGAACAAATTTTCAAACAAAAGGCAATAGACTAATTTCTGCCTTCCTCGGAATTCCTTACGCTGAACCTCCAATTGGAAATCTCAGGTAATTTTCTAACTTCTTTATTTTTTTTTAAATGTGAATTTTTTAAAGAATTTTCTTAAATAAACAAAACTAAAAAAAAAAGACTTTTAATTTCAGATTTAAAAATCCACTACCAGCGGGAAAATGGAACGGAATTCTTTCGGCTCATCAGGAGGGAAATTCTTGTGCTCAAGTAGATTTCCAAAATAATATCAATGGCAAGGAGGATTGCTTGTATTTAAATGTTTACACCCCATATTTGGATTTCAACAATTTGGTATGACTTTTTCGATAAATTTCTCCAAATTCGTTTGCAGACTTCGCACTCGATAATTAATTTTAAAAAAGTATCAAAAAGTAGCTTTCAAACTAAAAATGGGAGTAAAAAAGTAGCTATCGAAAAATTAAACTTTACGACCAAAAAAACTCGTTTTAGACTCTTTACAAAACTGAGAAAAATTCCATTCTATATTTTATTTTCCTGACTTTTTTCTAATTTTCATCAAAAATATTTACTTCTTTCTTATCCTATGCTAATAAATTGAATTCCTGCAACTAATTTTATTATTCATAAAATAATTTAAATATTTATAAAAATAATTTAATTCTTGCGAAAAATTTTATAAAAATTATTAAATAACTAGCAAATGTTACGCGCAAAACGTGATATTCAATTTTTTACTGTTATGCAAATTAAAAAATTTTTTATTTTCAAATATAAATTTTTTAAATAATTTTATAATCAAAATTTAAAAAATTCACTTATTAAGTACAAAATTAATTATTACTGTTCATTTTTTCAAAAATTTTAATAAAATTTCACGAAAGAATTCAATTCTTTTCTGAAGTTTTAATAAACAATTCAATTATTTTTTTAAATAGTAAAATCTTTACAAAAATTCAATGATTTTCTAAACAATTTTAATTGAATTCCTCGGAAGAATTAAGTTTTTGAAAAAATTTAAACACATTTCGAAAAAATTCAATTTTTTCTAAAATTTTAATAAATCCTTCGAAAAAAATTAAATTCTTTTTATAAATAGTAAAATTCTTTCCAGGAATTTAATTATTTTCAAAACAATTTTAATTAAATTCCTCGGATGAATTCAAATATTTTTAAATATTTCCATAAAAATTCAATTATTTCCTAAAATTTTAATAAATTCTTCGAAACAATCAAACTATTTTTAAAAATACTAAAATTCTTTGCAGGAATTAAATTATTTTTAATCTAATTTAAATAAAATTACACGAAAGAATATAATCATTTTCAAAAATTTCCATAAAATTCAATTTCAACAAGAATTTAAAATTCTCAGAAAATAATTTAATTATTCTCAAAATATTTTTAAAAAATTCTGTATAAAAATTAAATTACTTTCAATGCAATTTTTAAATATATTCGTCAAAAAAAAATTGAAAGAATTCAATTATTTTCAAAAAATAATAAAATTCTTGTGATGAATTCAATTATTTTGAATATATACTTAATTTTAATCAAATTCTTTAAAGAAATTCAATTATTTTCGAAACAACTTTAATTGAATTTCTCGAAAAAATTTCATTATTTTCAAATATTTCTATAAAATTCTTCACAACAATTAAATTATTTCTTAAAATTTAATAAATTCTTTGAAACATTTCAATTATTTTTATAAATAGTAAAATTCTTCACAAGAATTCAATTATTTTTATAAATAGTAAAATCCTTTGCAGAAATTCAATTTTTTTCAAAACAATTTTAAGAGATCCAAAAAATTTAAAATTTTCAAATATTAACATAAAGTTCTATTAAAATTTTTAAAAATATTTGAATGTTTGTGTGGTATTTTATTAAATTATTTTAAAAACAATTGAATTTTCTTGCTAAAGATTTAATTAGAATTTTCTTAAATAATTGAAGTTTTAAGAAGAAATTTATTACTTCTAAAAATAATTGAATTTTCGGAAATAATTTTGTTATCTATCATCATAATTGAATCCTTTCGAAGAATTATTTATGTAAATAATTGAATTCTTGAGAAAAATTTTATTAAAATCTAAAAGAATAATTAAATTATATAAAAAAAAAATTAATTAAAATTGTATTTAGAATAATTGATTTCTTTCGAACAATTTTATTAAAATATTTGAAAATAATTGAATTCCTGTTAAGAATTCTAATATTTTTGTAAATAATTGAATTCTTCCAAAGAATTTAAAAAAAATATTTTTTTAAATAATTGATTTTCTCGAGGAATTGAAATTAAATTTTTAAGAATAATTAAATTTTTCGAGCAATATTCCTGTAAAATTTTATTAAAAATAATTGAAATCCTGCGATGAATTTGATTATTTATGATAATAATTGAATAGTCGCAAAGAATTTTATTAAAATTTTCAAAAATAACGGAATTCCTAAAAAGAATTTTATTGTTTATGAAAATAATTGAATTCTTCATAAGAATTTCATAAACATTGTTTTAAATAATATTAATGTTTTTAAAATATAATAAATATTATGAAAATTTTATTTTAAATAATTGAATTCTTGTGGAAAACTTTATTTGTGAAAATAATTGAATTTTTGATTAATTAGTTTAAAATAGTATTAAAAATAATTGAAATTCTTCGATGAGTTTTATTATTTATGAAAATAATTGAATTCTTGATTAGAATTTTATCAAAAATTTATTTAAAAATTGGAATTTCCATGAAAAATGTTATTATTAGTGAAAGTAATTGAATTATTGTGAAGAAATGTATAAAGATTTGGTTGAATAATTGATTTCTTCGAAATTTTGTTGAAAAGCTATTCTAAATTAATTGAATTCCTGTGGAAATTTTATTATTTATGAAAATAATTGAATTTTGGATGAATTTTATCAATTTTTTTTTAAATAATTGAATTCTTTTGCGAAATTTTATGAAAATACGAGATATTGAAAATAATTCAATTTCGAATATTTTTTGAAAATAATTGAATCGTTTTAAAGAATTTGATTATAATAATTTTTGAGAATAGTTTTTTGATATTTAGTATTAGCGAATTTAAAGTAGTGGAAATTGTCAAAAAAAAAAAAAAAAAAAAAAGAAATAGTAGCTTTTAGTGGCTGAAATCTAAAAAAAGTACCTAAATAGTAGCATAATGTAAAAAAAGTAGTAAATAGTATGGTTTAGTAGATGAGTGCAAAGCCTGCATTTGTATAAAATTTTTTTGGCGAGAAAATTTTTTTGAAATAAAGAATATTTGAAATCGAAAATAGTTCAAATAAATGAATATAATAATTATATAATAATTTATATTCTTGTTAATAGGAGGAGAATGAATTGTTGCCGGTGATGGTGTGGATTCATGGTGGAGGATATTTTTTTGGTGACAGCAGTCCAAGTGTTTATGGACCAAATTATCTTCTCGATAAAAATATTCTACTTGTTTCAATGAATTATCGTTTGGGAATTTTTGGATTTTTCACCACTGGCGATTCAGTGGCACCGGGAAATTTTGGCCTCAAGGATCAAGCTCTTGCCTTAAAGTGGGTTCAAAAGAATATCAAAAATTTTGGCGGTGATCCAAATCGAGTGACACTCTTTGGAGAGAGTGCAGGCGGTGCTTCTGTTAATTTACACGCAATCTCAGACGCATCGAATGGTAATTTCCACTACATTTCTTTTTATTGTAATATAAAAATTTTTATTTTCAGTCGAAAATGTAATCTTTTAGGTACTAGAAAATAATATTTAATTTTCTCTTGCAGGACTTTTTCAACAGTACATAATTCAGAGCGGAAGTGCCCTGTGTCCTTGGGTTTTTCGCAATAAAATTGAATATAAACCTTTGATAAATGCAATTGTGGGAAAAATCGATTGTTCTTGTGATGATTCTGAACATGTTGTCGATTGCTTACGAAATAAGAGTGTGGAAACTTTATTAAGGGCGAAGAAATCACTAGTTAATAATTTTCCCTCACTGATCTGGGTGCCGACTGACGAATTAAATTCTGAAGATGCATTTTTGACCGATAGTCCTAAGAATTTAATAGTGAAAAATAAAATGAAGGATCAACCTTTCATGAGTGGAACTGTCGTCAACGAAGGCCTGCTTCAAACTCTACGTAAATATTACAAAGAAAATTACACAACAACTTTTATTTTCTATTTTTAACTAGCAAAATAGAAAAGTTTTATTCAAAGATAAAAAATTGAAAGAAAACTAAAATACTATATAAATATAAAAATAATAGTAAATAAGGATAAGCCGTAAATAATAATAATGATAAAAATAATTCTAAAATTTTAATAAATCCTTCTAAATAATTCAATTATTTTTTAAAAAAGTAAAATCTTTACAAATATTCAATTCAATGATTTTGAAAACAATTTTATTTAGATTCCTCGGAAGAATTCAACTTTTAAAAAAATTTTTAACACATTTCGAAAAAATTCAATTTTTTTCTAAAATTTTAATAAATCCTTCGAAACATTTCAATTATTTTTATAAATAGTAAAATTTTTCGCAAGAATTCAATTAATTTTATAAATAGTAAAATTTTTTGCAGGAATTCAATTATTTTCAAAACAATTTTAATTGAATTCCTCGGATGAGTTAAAATATTTTTAAATATTTCCATAAATTTCAATTATTTCCTAAAATTTTAATAAATTCTTCGAAACAATTTAACTATTTTCAAAAATACTAAAATTCTTTGCAGGAATTAAATAATTTTTAATCAAATTTAAATAAACACGAAAGAATTTAATTATTTTCAAAAATTTCCATAAAATTCAATTTCAACAAGAATTTAAAATTCTCTAAAAATAATTCAATTATTCTCAAAATATTTTTAAAAAATTCTATATAAAAATTAAATTATTTTCAATGCAATTTTTAAATATATTCGTCAAAAAAATTGAAAGAATCCAATTATTTTCAAAAAATAATAAAATTCTTGTGATGAATTAAATTATTTTCGAAACAACTTTAATTGAATTTCTCCAAAAAAATTTCATTATTTTCAAATATTTCTATAAAATTCTTCATAACAATTCAATTATTGCTTAAAATTTTAATAAATTCTTCGAAACATTCTAATTATTTATATAAATAGTAAAATTCTTCGCAAGAATTCAATTATTTTTATAAATAGTAAAATCCTTTGCAGAAATTCAATTTTTTTCAAAATAATTTTAATAGAATTCCTCGAAAGAATTTAAAATTTTCAAATATTAACATAAAAATTTCTATTTTAGTAAGAATTAAGTTTAAATTTTATTATTTTAGTAAATTTAAAACAAACAGAATTATTTATTTAATTGTAATTATAAGGAATTATAAATTGTAAAATTTTTATAATTTCTCTTTATTGTTAGCTTTCTTCGCGGAGAAAACACCAATTGAACGAATTCTGCTTTTTTTGGAAAAAACTATTAATTTAACGTCAAGATACTATTCAAATTCGGAAGATGTGAATCAATTTAGAGACTCGATTGAAAATTACTACTTCAATACATCAATTCACTCTATTGCCAAAGATCAAGTTAGTGAATAAAAATTTCTGCAATGTACAGAATTTTTTTTAATGATTTTTAATAATTAATAGTTTAGTAATTAATTTAATATTTTTAATATTTTTTAAAACGATTATTTTAATACGTCTCGAAATTTTATTAATATTGAATTAATTTTTTTCGAAGGAAAAAGTAAATTTTTGAATATAAATTTGCTAAAATAAAATTTGATTTTTGTTTTCAGCTTTTGAATAATTACACGGATTTTGTAAGTGACAGTGGTTTTCTCTATCCACAATCAGCAATGATGGATAAAATTGCTAAAGTGATGAAAAGTCCATTCTATTTTTATTCATTCGGCTATTATAGTTTGAATATGAATAAAATTTTCGATATTTTTGATATTAAAAAAAATGTCGGTGTACCGCACGCTGAAGAACTTGGATTTCTATTTTCATCGAATACTACGAGTGCAATAAATGAGAACGATGAATTTGTTCTTAATTTAATGGTTGATCTTTGGACTTCATTTGCCATTAATGGGTATGTTTTTTTTTGGATTTATATTTTTTTTATTACTAAATATTAATTGCAATATTTCATTTTAATTTTAATATTTAACTTCAATTGCAAAATTTTGTTAATAATTAATTGTAATTGCAATATTTAATTTCAATTGCTTTCTATTTTGTCAATTAATTTTAATTGTAATATTTAATTTCAAATGCAATATTTTTTTAATAATTAATTTTAATTGCAATATTTAATTTCAATTGCAATATATTTTGTTAATAAATAATTTTAATTGCTATAGTTCATTTTAATTGCAATATTTTTTTAATAATTAATTTTAATTGCAATATTTTGTTAATAATTAATTTTAATTTTTCATTTCAATTGCAATATTTTGTTGATAAATAATTTTAATTGCAATATTTCTTTTTTTAGAAAACCCACTTCAGCTTTGTTACAAGATTCAAATCTCTGGCAGCCTTATGTGGAAAATAATGGTTTCCTTCAAATTGGAAATATTTTAAACAATACTGATCCAACCGTCAAAATGGATAACAATTACTTTTCGTCCCGCTTGAATTTTTGGCGTGAAAATTTTCCGATACAATTATAATTTGACTGATTTTTCATCATTACTATTTTTTATTTTATTATTTTTATTATTGTTATTACTATTTTTATTCTTCTTCTTATTTTATTTTTTTAATACTATTATTGTTGTTTTATTATTATTTATATTCTTAATAATAATAATTATTATTAAATTAATTACATTTTATTTTTAATTAAAAGAAAAACTACTTGAGAGCGAAGAAGCATTATTAAAAGAATACTATAGAAATATAGAATTAAATTCGTTTAAAATTGAACGATAAGTCGAATTGACAAATAAAATAATAATTTTTTAAAAAGTGAAATAATTTATATAAAAAAAAATTAAATTTTAATACAAAATTTAAATTAAAAAATTGGTAAAATTTATTAAATTCTATTTAAATTCTATTTTTATTCAATAAATAATAAATATTTGAAATTTGAATTAAAAATTGAGAAAAAAAATTTGTAATTGCAATAACGGATTGTCTAAATTTAATTTTAATTAACTGTTAACTTAACGATAAAAATAATTGTTGGAGATTAATTAGCACGCGCCACTCTTGTTTAAACGGCGAGATTTTGATCGACTTTGCTGTATTTTATCTAAACAGTTTATACTTTTTTTATTATCTCTATAATTAGCATACGTATCTAACCGGTTGATGAACAATATTTTCCTTCAGTTTAATCTTGCCACGTCTATTCAACGCTTCCTCATTGCTTTGATAAGAACTATAAGTACCGATTTGCCAAAAAGTTAATTAATTCATTCGCCATTTATCATCACAAAATGATGGACAAATTATTTTTACTAATATTTTGTCTGTCAAATTTTCTTTTCCTATCGGCAACTCCTAATCAAGATCCAGTGGTGAGAATTCGACAAGGAACTTTAAAAGGGAAAATTGGTCAAGACAAAAATGGAAGAAATTTCTCGTCCTTTTTGGGGATTCCGTATGCTCGTCCTCCGGTGGGAGAATTTAGGTGAGATGCAATTTTTCTTTTAGTCAGAATTTTATTAAATAATTAATAATTATTTATTAACTAGCTAACTTTTTACTTACTTTTTAAAATGAAATTAGCAACTTTGAAAATAATAGAATTTACAAATTTTTATTGTTAAATTTTTGTTGAAAACACTAAAAACAATTGAATTTTGGAGAAATTAGAAATAATTGCAAAAATGCAATTATTTTTAAAAGTAATAAAATTCTTCTCATAAAATTCAATTGTGTTAAAAAATTTTTAAAAATTCTCGTCAAAATACCAATTATCTTTATGAATAAAAAAATTCTTCTTCAAAATTCAATTATTTTAAAAAATGTCAATAAAATTCTTCTCCTAATTTCAATTATTTTCAAAATTTTACTCATTTCAATAATTTTAAATATTTACTATTTTAATAAAATTTTCCAAAAATAATTCAATTATTTTTAACAAAATTTTCATCAAATTTTATGGAAACATTTAATTATTTTCATAAATAACAAAAATTTCACAGGAATTCAATTATTTATTTTATAAATTTCTTTGCAATAATTCAATTATTTTCATAAAAAGTAATTAAAAATTCTAGAAAATAATAATTGAATTGAAATTAAAAATAATGGATTTATACAGAAGAATTTTAGTTAAAAACACTTTTAAAAAATTTGATTTTGAAGAAGTTACAAATGAATGCCAAAATTCAATTATTTTCAAAAGAAATAAAGTTCTTCGCAAAAATTCAATTACTTTCAAAAATGTTTTTTAAAAAATTCTCGTTAAAATTTCAATTATCTACAAAATTCTTGGAAAAATTGCAATTACTTTCCAAACCTTTCTCTCAATGCAATAATTTTCAATATCTACTATTTTAATAAAATTTTTCAAAATATTTCAATTATTTAAAAAAAATGTTAATAAAATTCATCGAGACAATTCAATTATTTTCATAAATAAAAAAAATCTTCGAAATAATTGAATTATTTTCATTAAAAAAATTGTTCTAAAAAATTCAATTATTTTAATGAACAATAAAAATTGGCGCAAAAATTGAATTAATTATAATTAAAAAAAAAAATTCTCGTCAAGAATTCAATTATTTTTATAAAGAGCAAAATTCTTCGTCAAAATTCAATTATTTTCAAAAATTGTTTGCAATTCAATGATTTTCAATATTCACTATTTTAATAAAATTTACCAAAAATAACTCAATTATTTAAAAAAAAATTTTAATAATATTGTACGCAAACATTTAATTATTTTCATAAATAATAAAAATTTCACACGAATTCAATTATTTACAAATTTTTTATAAATTTCTTTGCAATAATTCAATATTTTTTTTATAAAAAATAATTTTAAATTCTAGAAAATAATAATTGAATTAAAATTAAAAATAATTTTGAATAATTTTGAAAAAATTATTGTCTCAAAGAGAAAAAAATTTTCCCTTAGAGAAAAACTATTGTCTCAAAGGTCAAACAATTTTCCCTTTGAGAAAAATTGTTATTTCATAGGGAAAACAATTTTCCCTAAGAGAAAAAATTATTTTCTTAAAGAGAAAATTTATATTCACGCAGGGCAAAAATTTTTTCTCAGATAAAAATTATTTTCGTAAAGAGAAAACAATTTTCCCTTAGAGAAAAATTATTTTCTTAAAAGGAAAATTTCTTTCTCTTAGAAAAAAAAAATTATTTACTTAAAGGGAAAAAAATTTCTTTAAAAGAATTTTATTTACTTTACAAGGAAATGTTTATTTCCAATGAGGAAAGTTCGTTCTTTTCTCTTTAAGGAAACTTATTTGCTTTAAGGAAAAAAATTTTCGTTCGTCAAGCAATAAACTTTTATCCTCTTTGATAATATAGAACGAAATTTAAAAACAAAATTTCCGAACATAAAATTGAATTTTTTTTTAGATTCAAAAATCCAGAAGCAGGACTTCCATGGAGAGGAATTCGGCAAGCAACCGAGGAAGCAAATATCTGTCCTCAATTAGAGGAAGAAAACGTTAAGGGCAATGAGGATTGTCTATTCATAAATGTTCATACTCCATTCTTACAATTTAATTCTCCAATTGTAAGAGTCTCTCGAAATTAATATTTAATTATTAATTATTAAAAAAATAGAAATCGAATTTTTTTTCAATTATTTAAAATTATCTGAATTTAATTTTACCGGAAATTATTGGAATTTAATTTTACCGGTAATTTTTTTTTAATACTTGTCTTTTTTTCTCAAAATTAGGACAATAACAAATTATTACCAGTGATGGTCTGGTTTCATGGAGGAGGATTTTTCTGGGGAAATGGAAATCCAAGTTTCCTTGGTCCCAATTTTCTACCATCTCGAAATGTTGTTCTCGTTTCATTGAATTATCGTTTGGGAATTTTTGGATTTTTAACGACTGGAAATTCAGCGTCGCCTGGAAATTTTGGCCTCAAGGATCAAGTTATGGCACTCAAATGGATTCAAGAGAATATAAAAAAATTCGGCGGTGATCCGAATCGAGTGACAATATTCGGAGAGAGTTCCGGTGGGGCTTCTGTTCAATTTTTAGCTCTTTCGGATCAAACACACGGTACATTTTTCTATTCAATTTAATTTACAAAAATTTTCTTTTCAATTTAATAAAAAAAATGTTCCTTTTAATTTAAAAAAAATCTTTTAATTCAATTAGAATTTCAAGAAAAATTTTTTAAATTTTAATTAAATTTCCAATATTTTTTAATTCACTGGTTTCGTTTTTTTCAGGTTTGTTTCATCGGTACATTATTCAAAGTGGAAATGTACTGGGAGCTTGGTCATTTCGAAGAAGAGAAAATTATCAACCTTATTTGGATACAATTTCGAAAACTGTCAACTGTCCGAATACGAATTCGGAGACTTTTGTCAATTGCCTGAGAAATCAAAGTGTGGAAAAATTATTGAATATTTTTAAAGTGAAGAATGAGGAATATCCACTTTTACATTGGCTACCGACAAATGAAGCAAAATCGAAAGATGCATTTATAACCGAGAGACCCGAGGAATTAATGGCGCAAAATAAAATGAGGGATCTGCCGTTTATCGTTGGATCAACCACTGACGAAGGACTATTTTTATCCTTACGTAATTATTCATTACTTTTAGATTTATCAAAATTGAATTTTTTTTTAGAAATTCTTATCAAATGTTAATTGAAAATGCAAAATTAATAATATCAGGGTTGCCACAGGACAAGAAAAAAGTTTCCATGGAAAACTCAGGGATTCTTTATTAATTGTTTTTAATGCAATTTTAAATTCGAATTTCTCGAAAAATTAAATTATTCTTAAAAATTTTATTAAATTTTACATTCTTGAGAAGAATTTTATTATTTACAAGTGTAATTAAATTCTTGCAACGAAAAAAAATTTTAATAAAATGTCACGAAAGAATTCAATTATTTTCTAAAATTTTAATAAATCCTTCTAAACAATTCAATTATTTTTTTAAATAGTAAAATCTTTACAAAAATTCAATTATTTTCAAAACAATTTTAATTGAAATTTTAACACATTTTGGAAAAATTCAATTTCTTTCTAAAATTTTAATAAATCCTTTGAAAAAATTTAATTATTTATATAAATAGTAAAATTCTTCGCAAGAATTCAATGAATTTTATAAATAGTAATATTCTTTGCAGGAATTCAATTATTTTCAAAACAATTTTAATTGAATTCCTCGGATAAATTCAAATATTAAATTATTTTAAATCAAATTTAAATAAAATTACACGAAAGAATTTAATTATTTTCAAAAATTTCCATAAAATTCAATTTCAACAAGAATTGAAAATTCTCTAAAATAAATTCAATTATAATCAAAATATTTTAAAAAAATTCTATATAAAAATTCAATTACTTTTAATGCAATTTTTAAATATATTCGTCAAAAAAATTGAAAGAATTCAATTATTTAAAAAAAAAAAATAAAATTCTTGTGATGAATTCCATTATTTTTAATATACATAATTTTAATAAAATTCTTTAAAGAAATTAAATTATTTTCGAAACAACTTTAATTGAATTTCTCGAAAAAATTTCATTATTTACAAATATTTTTATAAAATTCTTCATAACAATTTAATTATTTCTTAAAATTTTAATAAATTCTTCGAAACATTCTAATTAATTTTATAAATAGTAAAATTCTTCGCAAGAATTCAATTATTTTTTAAATAGTAAAATCTTTACAAAAATTCAATGATTTTCAAAACATTTTTAATTGAATTCCTCGAAAGAATTTAAATTTTCAAATATTAACGTAAATTTCATTTTCATTTATTTTCTAAAATTTTAATAAATTCTTCGGAACAATTCAATTATTTTTATAAATAGTAAAATTCTTCGCATGAATTCAATTACTTTCAATTCAATTTTAAGAAAATTCTTCTTCATAAAATTCAATTGCTTTCTAAATTTTCAATTAAAATTTAAAATTATTAAAGAAACTCCATTAGTTCAAAAAAAAAAAAATTCAAAGAAATTCTTCAAAAGAATTTAATTAGGATTTTTAAAAATTTTAATAAAATTCTTTGCGAGAATTCAGTTTTTTTCCTAAATAATAAAATTCTTTGAAAGAATTCTATTATTATCAAATTTTATGATAAAATTCTTTGTAACAATTCGATGATTTTCAATACATTAATTTAAAAATTGAAAATATTTGAAAAGAAAAATTATAAAAAAGTTAAGAAACAAAAAAGCAAACTAACTTCAAACTGCGAAAAGATTACCGGAACATGTACTTTATTATTATTAATAATATTAATAATTGAAATCATGTGAAGAATTTTATTATTTACGAGAATAATTGAATTCTTGCAACGAATTTTTATTGCATTTTTAAAAAAATTGAAATCCTGTAAAGAATTTTATTATTTATGAAAATAATTGAATTATTACAACGAATTTTATTACATTTTCTTAAATAATAGAATTCATGTGAAAAATTTTATTAGACTTGTAAAAATATAATTGAATTCTTGCGAAGGATTTTATTAAAATTTTTGGAAATAATTTTTTTTTTGTGGCAACCCTGAATATTAAATTAGAATACGAAAATTCCAAACCTTGAAGACGATTTAAATCAGTAAATTCTATTCTTCGGAGACGTTGCTTTTTGATCATGATAACGATGCACTTCACGAGAAAACTATTTTTTTGTTTAAAAAATTCCATCTATTATAAATTCGATCGCTATAATCAATTATACGAGCCAACCTGGAACAAATAAAAAAAAGAATGTTATTAAATTGTACAGAACTTGAAAAATAATTCATGAAAATTGTATTTTAATGAATTACATGAAGGAATTAATATTAAAATATATTAAATATTATTATTTAAATTATTTAAATTGTTATTATAATTATTAATAAAATTATTAATTTAAATATTATATGTTTCTTATGTTGCAGTCTACTACGCAAATCTAACATCAGCTTCACTTACGAACGCCACAAAAAATGCAATTACTTTTAATGCCGAATACTATTTAACTAAGGACAAAATACCAAAATTTACAAAAGCAGTAATTGATTACTATTTTAATGGATCAATCGAGTCTCTAAGTAGGGACGAGGTAATTTATTTTGTAATCTTTGATAAATTTTTTAGTATTTAACTATTAATTTAATATTTATGACACGCTCCTAAGAAAAGTATAAAAAAAAAAAGTTACAAAAAGTGCAAAAATTGTTTGCCTCTTGGGATCTTTCTTCGGAGCGTGAAACAAATAAATTATACAATTAAGTTAGCTAATAATTAATATTCAATATTTATTATTTTGATATTAATTTATAATATTTCTTTTCCAGCTCATTAAAAATTACACGAGATTTTTGACCGACGCAGGATTCTTTTATCCGCAAGTAAAATTACTGGAAAAAATGTCTCAATATGCACAAAGTCGATTCTATTCTTATTTGTTTGGCTATCGTGGAAATAATAGTTACACATCATTAATTTACACAGTAAAAGAAAATGTGGGTGTTGTGCATTCAGATGATCTTCTTTATCTTTTTTCTGGAATTCCACTTTCTTGGCTGACCAAAGACGATGAAAAAATTACTGATCTGATGCTTGATTTATGGACGTCGTTTGCAAAAAATAGGTAAAAATTTGTATAAAAATCATCAATTATTTTTAAATCATAAAATAATTATTTTCCATAGTAATTTGTTAATATTTTTTAATTTTTTAATAAATTTATAATTAATAATAGTGAATTTAAATAATTAATCAATTTTTCTTTTTCTTTAGCGTACCAAAGTCGCATCAGATAAATAATCCTCATCTTTGGCAGCCTTATAAACAGTGTCAAGCTCATTTGAGAATTGGAGATATTAATAATAATACTATTCCATCTGTGACTCTTCAGCGTCAATTTTATCCAGACGCAATGAATTTTTGGAAAAAAACACTTCCAATTTTATAAATTGTCATAAGTTTTTTGTTTATAAAAATCGTATGTATTTAAATATAACTAGCTAACTTCTCACTCACTTTTTTAAAATAAAATTAGCAATTTTAAAAATAATAGAAAGTAAAAATTATTTTTAAAGTTGATTAATTTCAAAAAGGTTTGAATTTGAAAGTTTTGAAGAATTTTAATTCCTATGGAAAAATACATAATAATTAAATATTTAAAAAAGAAATTATTGTTTTCGAATAATTTTACAATTAAAGATATTCGTAAATAAATTCAACAGAACATTTTTTTCAATAAAATTATTTCCTTTACTTTCTAAAAATTCAAAAAGTTTCAGTTTCATTTTCAATTAAATTTTCTAATTGACAAATATAATTTAATAATATTTTTTTCCTTTATTTTTAAAAAACATTGAATTTTATTAAAACAATTAAAATTAAGAAATAGAATTGATGCAAATTATTTCCTTATGAAAATTGAGAATTTTCTACAAAAATATTAAGAAACGGGAATATGTATAATGTTTTTTTTCCAAAAGAAAAAAATGAGTTTGTTAACAACATTGTTATTGAGAAATAAAAATTTATGCATAAAATGGATATATTTCCTATTTCTTAATCATAATTTTTTAACAATTAACAATTTTCTAGTATTTTTTATAAATAAAAAGGAGGATAATTAATAATAAATCAAATATTTTCAATTTTAAAATTATTGTATTAAAAATCATCGAATTGTTGCAAAGAATTTTATCAAAAAATTTTATAATGTTATAGAATTCCTTCAAATAATTTTATTATTTAAAAAAATAACTGAATTCTCGCGAAGAATTTTATTAAAATTTTTAAAAATCCTAATTAAATTCTTTTGAAGAATTTCTTTGAATTTTTTTAAACTAATGGTGTTTCTTTAATAATTTTAATTGAAAATTTTGAAAGCAATTGAATTTTATAAAGAAGAATTTATTAATATTTAAAATTGTATTGAAAATAATGTAATTCTTGCGAAGAATTTATTAAAATTTTAGAAAATAAATAAATGTTATGTTAATATTTGAAAATTAAAATTTTTTCGAGGCATTCTATTAAAATTGTTTTAAAAATAATTGAATTCCTGCAAAGGATTTTACTATTTATAAAAATAATTGAATTATTGCCAAGAATTTTACTATTTATAAAATTAATTGAAATGTTTCGAAGAATTTATTAAAATTTTAAGAAATAATTAAACTGTTATCAAGAATTTAATAGAAATATTTGAAAATAATTGAATTTTTGTAAAGATTTTACTATTTAAAAATGTATATTTGAAATTAAAAATTTTTGTAATTTGCATAACAATAATAAATTGAATATCACGTTCCGTGCGTAACATTTGCTAGTTAAAGTAGAAGAATATAAAATCATATGTCAATATAATAATAATTAGATTATATTCTCTTAAAAATATTATTATTATTAAAGTAATTTAACGTTATAATCCAACAATCTTGTAATAATTATACCTACTAAATAAACAAAAATAAGTAATAAGTTTACCTAAAGTTTCGATCGTTTCGATGAATGATGATGAATTCAATTTTGTACGTGAATATTGAAATTAAATTATGTAACAGTAAAAATTCTAACTCACTTTTAATTCCGAATCTCCAACTCGTGGACAATCCAAAACAATAATTATTTTATTATTTATTTATATAATTATTATTATTCTTATTTTTTTTTGTCTTTTGTGCAAAGCGTGCAACTTTTGTGTTTACAAAATACAAATTTAGTGAATTTCGTTATCTTGTGTTGGCATCCCTGATTCCCTGCTCATTCCAATATGGCTGCTTGCTCACTGACAGACGTCAACATATTTCATATATTTCACATATTTAAGAAATAAACAAAGTTTTAAGTAATATTCGACTGCAAATTAAATTCTAACCAATAAATAATCAAAGTGAATTAAGAAAATAATTGAATTTCACCATTATTTTTTGCACAAATACGCATATGAAAAGAAAACATAACCTATTTAACAAAAGACCTTGACTTACGTCCCTTTTATATTTTTTCTTTTTAATAAATAAATTGCAAAGATTGTAAACAAAATTAACACATGGTTTTCAATTAATTAACTAAATTATCGAAAATAAGGAAGAGAAGAAATAGACACTGTCATTTGTTACTTTAACTAAAAAGGAAGATAATTTAAATGATTAACGATTAACACGTTGGCATGATGAAATTTTTAGTATTTTTGTAAAAATACTTTAAACAAATTAGAGTAATGTGAATTTAAGTAAAAAGGAGTTTATACTATATATTTTTCTATGGCGACAAGAATTTGGTTGCGTCTAAATGATGCAACAAGTAAATGGTAAATTTTAGTTTTTAAAATTTGTTATTTTCCCCGATTTTCCCAAATGTTTATTCATCTTTTATTGTTTGCAGTTTCTTTAATCATGTACAGTATCGTAGGCCAAATCTGCAGGTTTACAGGACATTTAAACCAGTCAGAAATTTTAAATTCAGAGAAGTGGAAAAGGAGACGCCGGTAGTGTTTAATAAATCTGGAAACATATCTTACCGATTTTTGAAAACTTTCGGCTTCACTGTGATGGTAAATTAATTAATTCTTTATTATCACCTTTATTGTATTTTTATTATCTTTATTATTATTATTCTTTTATTATCACCTTTATTATATTTTTTTATTATTATTATTATTCTTTATTACTATTTATGAAAAATGTTTGACATTTTTGGTGACAAGTATAAAATTATTTCAGTTTAGCGGAAGTTGTTTAGTTGGTGCAACAATTTGGGAATATGAGAACATTCGTCGAAGGACCTACAATTTAATTCATTTTATGAAACATCGTCAAGTTCCTGTCAGTGTTTGAAAATAATATAAAAAAATTTCGTGATAAAATAAGAAATTTGTTGTCTGAAATGAAAACTATTTATAATGAACGGAAAATTTTATTTTAGAAAAGAGGTTTTCGAGCACAAGCCGAACTATGGTGGAGAAGTTTAAGTCCTGGAGAGAAAATTTTTATACCTATTTGCTTTTTAAATGTTCTCGTTTATCTCGCATGGAAGGTGCCGTCTTTTCGCAAAACAATGGGTCTTTATTTCACTGCTAGTCCAACTTCCAGTGAGTATTCAAATTTCGATAAACTCTGCAAAGTTTAGTATTAAAATAATTGTTTTTATTTAATCAGAGTTGCAACAGGTCAGGGAAATCAGGGAAAAGTCAGGGATTTTTATTAAAATTACTGGAGAAAATAATTTTCAGGGATTTTAATAAAATTCATTGCAAAATTCAATTATTTTCATAAATAATAGTATTCATTGTAAACTTCAATAATTTCCATAAATAATAGTATTCGTCAGAAGAATTCAATTATCTTAAAAAATTTTAACAAAATTGATGGCAAAAATTTCAATTATTTTTAAACATTTTTCCTAATTCAATGATTTTCAATATTCTACTATTTTAATAAAATTTCCCAAAAGAATTCAATTATTAAAAAAAAATTTGATAATTTTCAACACAATCACTGAATTATTTTCCAAAAAAATAAAAATTTTGCAGTAATTCAATTATTTTCATAAATAACAATATTCATCCCAAAAATTCAATTATTTTCAAAAGTAATAAAATTCAATTATTTTCAAAAAATCAATAAAACTCATTGCAAAAGTTCAATTAGTTTCAAAAATTTTGCTTAATTTATTAATTTGTATATCTGTTATTTGAATAAAATTTCCCAAAAGAATTCAATTATTTATGAACAATTTTGATAAAGTTTTACATGAATATTCAATTATTTTATAAAATAATGAAAGTTTCACAGTCAAATTCAATTATTAAAAATAGAATTCGCCTAAATTTTTTCGAAAAAAATCAGTTGTTAGAAACTTTTTTTATAAAATTCTTTGCAATAATTCAATTATTTTTATAAATAATAAAATTCACTGCAGAATTAAAATTATTTTTTATACAATTTTAATCGACTTCCCCGAAAAATGTAATAATTCTTAAAAATTTTATTAAAATTTCTCGAAAGAATTTAATTATTTAAAAATTTGTTGATAAAATTCTTAATGAGAATTCAATTTTAAGAAACATTAAAATATTCAATAAATTATTTTTTTTATTTAAATAATTGAATTCTCGTAGAATTTTCTAATAAAAATTGATTTAAAAATTAATTTCTGTCAAAGTTTTAGATAATAATTGAATTTTGGAGAAGTTACTAATAATAACAATTTATAGAAATAATTGAATTTTCTAAAATTTTCAATTTAAAATCTTTAAAAATCTGAAATTCAATTATTTTTCAAAAAAATTTAATAAAATGCCACTCAGACATTCAATTATTCTCAAAAATTTTAATAGAATTTTTTAAAAGGAATCAATTATTTTAAATACAATTCTAATTATATTTTGTTGAAATAATTCAATTATTATTTTCGATTTTAATAAAATTCAATTATTTACATAAATAATTCTTCGAATGAATTCAATTATGTGGATAAATAACAAAATTATTCCCGAAAATTAAATTATTTTGAGGCATTTTAATAAAATTCATTAAATATTCAATTATTTTAATAAATAATAGTATTCATCACAAGAATTCAATTATTTTCAATTATTTTTCTTAATTCAATGATTTTCAATATTATACTATTTTAATAAAATTTCCCAAAAGAATTGAAATATTAAACAAAAATTTTGATAAAATTCTACACGAATATTCAATTATTTTTCAAAAAAAAATAAAAATTTCACAGGAATTCAATTATTAAAAATAGAATTTGCAAAAACTTTTTCGAAAAAAATCAACTTTTTTATAAAATTCTTCACAATAATTCATTTATTTTCATAAATAATAAAACACACTGCAGAGTTTCAATTATTGTTAATACAATTTTAATCGAATTCCTTGGAAAATCTAATTATTCTAATTCTTAATAATTCAATTTTAAGAAATATTTATTCAATTAATTTTTTTGTATTTAAATAATTGAATTCTCGTAGAATTTTCTAATAAAAATTGATTTTAAAATTAATTTCAGTTAAAGTTTTAGATAATAATTGAATTTTTGAGAATTTACAAATAATTGCAATTTTTAGAAATAAATGAATTTTGTAAAGGTTTAAAATTGAATTCTTTGAAAATTTGAATTGTTTATACTTTTAATAAAAAATTCTTTGAAACTAATTTTCTTCAAAAAGCTTAGGTAATCGAAATTTTTAAAAATTATTTCAATTTTTTATTTTCTTATTTATATTTAATTGAAGAATTTCCGAATAATTGGAATTTCACGTAAAATTGAATTTTAAACCAGTGGATTTAAAAATTCTCATTGAAGAACTTTTTCAAAAATTATTAAAAATAATAATTGATTTAAAGAAGAATTTTAATTAAAAATTCTAGAAAATAATAAATTAATATGATGAAAATAATTTTTAAGTTAATGAATTTCAAAAGGTCTGAATTAGAAATTTTGAAAAACTTAGTTCCCAAGGAAAAATAATAGTAATTACATATTTATTTGAAAATGTGTTTTTGAATCATTTTACAATTAAGAAAACTCGTAAATAAATATAATAGCACATTTTTTTTGAGTCTCTAATCATTTTTAGAGTAAATCAGAATATTCTTTAGGAAAAAGTCAAAATTTTGTCTAGAAATCAGGAAAAAATAAAATAATATTTTTGTGGGTATTCTGTTAATGTTGAGTATTGAAATAATTGTTTTTATTTAATGTTGAATATTGAAATAATAGTTTTTATTTAATGTTGAGTACTGAAATAATTTTTTTTAATTTTAAAATTGCGTGTAATAATTAACAGTTTTATTAAAAAAATTTATTTTTTTTTAGGTAAAGTGGGTCTTCCCTTATTACTGTCGACATTTTCGCACGACTATTTTTTTCATTTAGCTGCAAATATGTACGTTCTTCATAGCATCTGTCAACCTGCTGTTCAATCACTTGGTATGGAGCAATTTACGGCGATGTATTTAATCAGTGGAGTTTTTGGAAGTTTTATGAGTCATTTGTATAAAGCAACATTGTGCCGAACGACTGCATCTTTAGGATCGGTGAGTATTTTTTTTCTCTAAATCTATCTTGAAAAAGATAATTTTTTGAAAAATTTTTGAAAAAAATATCTTCTTTTTAGTCTGCTGCCGTTATGGGCGTACTTGCCTACACTTGCAGTCAATTTCCTTCGTTACAGTTCAGTTTAATTTTTCTCCCCATGTTCACCTTTTCTTCAGCCCAGGTAAATTGAAATTTACTTTTGTATTTTGTAATTTATTCGAAATAGTAATTATATTTCAGAATTTTAATTAAATTCTTTCTAAATTATAAAATAATGGATTTATAAAAATTTGTTCAAAGGCATTGCAAGGTTTAATTGCTCTGGATGTGGTAGGCGCAATTATGAGATGGAGGTTTATTGATCACGCAGCGCATCTCGGTGGTGCTTTCATCGGAATGTAATTATTTTTAAAATTCGAATTTTTCGATTATAAAATTTTGTATTTATTTACAAATTTTGGTAACGATATTCTATTTTAGATTATGGGCAAAGTGGATTAACGAAAACGTCTGGCAGAAACGTAAACCACTTTTAACAATGTGGCATAAATTTCGAGAACCACCACGACCGATCTAAGACTAAATGGAAATAAAAGCAATTTTTTTTTTAGTATCGTCAAAAAATTTTACCAAATGGAAGTAATTTTCTTTTCCTTTTGTTTGCCAAATTGCAACAAAAGAATACATTAAAACAAAATTCTGCATAGAAAATAAATATAATATATATTTGAAAATAAATTAAGGTACCTAAATTTTCTTCATTTTCCAATTTTTAAATGCGAAACTGTAGAATTAAGAGAGAGAGGAAAAAAGAGTACAAAGAACTAAGATTTTCTTCTTTATTTGATAAAATTAAACAGAATGTTTGTCATTGACAAATATTTGGAATTAGAATAAAAATGTATTTTTAATTCTTGAGATATTTCGCATGATGTTTGATGTGATCTTCGATAAATGTCGAAATGAAAAAATAGGTGTGATCGTAACCATCTTGCATTCTTAACGTCAAAGGCATACTTATACTCTGAGCTGCAGGTACAATACTCTCTGGCATTAATTCCTTAGTGAGAAAATTATCTTCTGAACCCTATGAACAAATTTTTTTTTGTTTTATCGAGAATTTGAAATAAGAGGAAAATGAGAAAAATTCGAAACTTACCTGATCAATCAAAATATCCAAAGGTGGTCCATTGTAAATTTTCATAAGTTCAGTGGCGTCCCACTTTTTCCAGCAATCTTGATTTTCGCCTAAATAACCGGAAAATGCTTTTTGTCCCCATGGACTGTTTATTGGATTGCAAATTGGAGCGAATGCCGAGACCGTTTTATATTGGCCTGGATTTTTTAAGCAACAGATCAAAGCTCCATGACCTCCCATACTAAAATGTAATTATTTATTTATTATATTTATAACTAGCAAATGTTCCTCGCGCGGAACGTGATAATCAATTTATTATTATTATACAAATTAAAAAATTTTTTATTTTCAAAATATGAATTTTTGAATAATTTTAGATTCAAACTTTAAAAAAATTCAATTATTAATTAATTTACTAATTAATTAATCTTGTTTCTAAATTTCAAAAATTTTAATAAAATTCTTCATCAGAATTCAATTATTTTTATAAATAGTACAATTTTTTGCAAAAAGTCAATTATTCAATTTTAATAAAATTTCACGAACGAATAAAATTAATTTTAAAAATTTTCATAAATGTTTTCAAACAATTTAATTATTCTTTTAAATAGTAAAATCTTGGCAAAAAATCAATTATTTTCAAAAAAAATCTCACGAAAGAATTCAATTTTTTTCATAATTCTTTATAAAATCTTTGCAAAAATTCAATTACTTGCAAAAAAAAATTTCACGACAGAATTCAATTTTTTTTCTTAATTCGTTAAAAAATATTTCAAAAGAATTCCATTATTTTCTAAAATTGTAATAAATCCTTCATAAAAATTCAATTTTATTTAAAAACAGTTTTTTTCTAAAATTTTAATAAATTCTTCAAAATAATTCAATTATATTTATAAATAGTAAAATTCTTTGCAAAATTTCAATTATTTTTAATACAATTTTAATAACATTTCAGGAAAGAATTCAATTTTTTTTTTTAATTTTTATAATATTTTTTGAGAAAAAATTTAATTATTTTCTAAAATGTTAATAAAACCTTCGAAACAATTCAATTATATTTTTAAATAGTAAGATTCTTTGCAAAAAATAAGTTATATTCAAAACAATTTCACGAAAGAATTCAATTTTTTTCGTTATAAAAAATTTCAATACAATTCAATTATTTTCTAAAATTTTAATAAATTCTTTAAAAAAAATCCAAATAAATTTATAAATAGTAAAATTCTTTGCAAAAATTAATTTATTTTTAATACAATTTTAATAACATTTCATAAAAGAATAAAATTTTTGAAATTTTAATAATTTTTTTCGAAAAGAAATTCAATTATTTTCAAAAAATTTCAATAAATCCTTCGAAACAATTCAATTTGCAAATAAAATTATTTGCAAACATTCAATTATTTTTAATAAATAAAATATTGTGAAAGAATTCAATTTTTTTTTATTTTTAATAATATTTTTCGAAAAAATTTAATTATTTTCAAAATAATTTCACGAAACAATTCAATTTTTTTCTTTATTTGTTATAAAATTTTTCAAAAAAATTCAATTACTTTCTAAAATTTTAATAAAATTTAATTATTAAATGCTTAATTTCATATTTTAACAAACACGATTATTTTAAAAACTTGATAGAAATTATTTTCAAAATTTTTAAATAAAATTATTCAAAAAAACTCCATTATTTAAAAAGAATTCAAAGAAATTTTTCAAAAAGAATTTAATTAGAATTTTCAAAAAATTTTAACAAAATTCTGCGCGAGAATTCAATTTTTTAATACAATTTTAATAACATTTCAGGAAAGAATTCAATTTTTTTTATTTTTAATAATATTTTCGAATGTTTAATTTCAATTTTTAATAAAAACAATTATTTTTAAAACTTGCAAGAAATTGTTCACAAAATTCAATTATTTTCTAAATTTTTACAAAATTCTTCGCAAGAATTCAATTCAATTTTCCTGTGAAAAATTAAATTATTTTTTTTTAAATAATTTAATTTTCTCGGAGAATTATTACAAGATTTTTAAAAATAATTGCAATTTTCGAAGAAATTAATTAACATTGTATTGGACATATGTGAAATCCTGATAAGAATTTTATTGTTGGTTGTATTTAAAATAAATGAATTCCTGTGAAAAATTTACTATTTAAATTTATCGATATTATTGAATTCTTTTGATAAATTTGAATAACATGTTTAAAAATAATTGAATTATTGAATTGGATTTTATTAAAAGCTTTTAAAAAATTGAACTCCTGTGAAAAATTAAATTATTTTTTAAAATAATTAAATTTTCTAGGAGAATTTTTAAAAGATTTTTAAAAATAATTGAATTTTTTTACGAAGATTTTTATTATTTATAAATTAACTACAGAATTTTATTACAACTATTGAATTCTTCATAAAATTCAATTATTTTCAAATTTTTTTATAAATACTTTACAAGAATTCAATGATTTTCAGTACATTAATTTTTTAATTTTAAACAATTAAAAAGAAAAATTATTTATAAAGTTATGAAACAAAAAAGCAAATAGCAACTAACTTTAAACTGCGAACAGATTACCAGAATACAACCATTTTTAATGTAGATAATAAAAAAAATAAAAAAAAAGAAATTACAAACGAATATACAAAAAGAAAACTGACTTGACTGAAAGCTTGCGATTCGATATTTTTAATATTTCATATTATTTTTATTTTATTTTACAGAAAGCAACAAACCTGTGTCCCATTATAGATTGTTTTTCAGGTATGGCGGGGAATTTTTCGTTAATCAAAGCCGGCAATTCTTTGGTAACATAACTATACATTTTATAATTATTCTTCCAAGGTTCCTCGGTAGCGTCAACATAAAATCCTGCCCCAGTGCCAAAATCCCAGGAAGTCTCTTCGCCGGGGAGATTGAGACCACGAGGACTTGTATCTGGTGCAACAATCATCACTCCCTGTTCAGCTGCATATTTTTGAGCTCCGGCTTTTTGAATGAAATTCGTCTCCGTGCATGTTAATCCGGAAAGCCAATAAATTACAGGCACTGGACCGCTTTCTGCTTGAGGCGGTAAGTAAACACCGAAATTCATTTTGCATTTTAATTCCGTACTGCAAGAAAAATAAATATTAATTCCTGCGGCTCAGAAGATATAATATTTTTAAAATAAAATAAACTATAACTAAAACTACACAACTATAGAAACAAAAAAAATATTTTAAAAATAAATTCCATTTCAATAATATACAAGATTGTATAATATTTATAACCATGAAAATAGTGAGAAAAATATGTTTTTTTAATATACCTTTCGTGAGAGTAAACTTTTTGCCATCCTCCAAAAATTTTGTTGTTCGAAACTAAAGCGAATTCAGTCATCTGTAAATTATCGAAAAACATATTGTGAACTTAAAGAAAAACAAAGCTACAGACTTTAAAAAAAGACGTCATAAAAGAAGAATATTGCGAAATGCAGAATACTGGACAGTAAAAAAAAAAGATAATTTCTAAGCAAGGTCAAATCATATTTTCAAATTTTGAGGTTATAATTCCAGATAAACCAAACCAAAGTCTACATTATAAACATTAAAATAGATGTGGTTGAGTATTTTTTTTATCAGAAATTACAATCATTCCTACCTTTGTTTATTATCTTATCAAACTCTTTTTATAATTCACTCGGTAAATTAAAAAAAATAATTACACCGGGCGGCAAACTTTTGGAGTAAACTGTATATATATAGAATATACAGGAACTATAGGTACTTTGCAGAATAATAATAATATTACCCCTTCTCGCCCTTAAAAAAAACCCTTAGGGCAAATTGCCCGCAATTTTAAACACTTGTAATTATAATTCAAAGAATAATATATTTTTGTACTAAAAAAATTTTTATTATGTTATTATTTTTAATATTAAAAAGTGCTTTAGAATTCTTTATTTCGTTTATTCATCTCTATTAACACTTTTTTTGTTAATTGTCCGATATTTAACATTGACTTTAAGTGAATTTTAATTTTTTATTTATAAAAAAAAAAGGAAAAACTCAAAAGTAAACAAAAACGTCAAAAAACAAGTAGAATTTGAAAATTTAATAATTGTTATGTTGGCACGACATGTAAAGAAAATGTATTTTTCTTAGGTTGTCATGCCTGATAATTGCAAAATGGCTGCTGATAGGAGACATGAAGTGTTTGTTTGTGTGGTTTGTGTTGAAAATTTTTAAACAGTTTGAATAAATTACAACATTAATGATGTATTGTTTCGGTTATTACATTTAGTTTTCTATAGATAATTCATCATTCATACAAGTTTACAAGTGACTGAAAAGAATGTAAATGTATATTCGATGGAAGTATTTTCAATCAAAACATAACCTAAAAATTTGTTATTCTTTTCAGAGAGTATTAGGGAGAGTGGAAGGTGACCGTACACGCTACTAGTAGCGCACTCTGGTGGGTCGTTCCCTTTTTAAAATATATATGTATAATGTTTTGAATGTACTGTATGTATTTGTGCTCAACTGTTTGTGCTTTGTTGTGCTTGTTTGCAAACAGTTGGAGAAGCGTGATTTACAAATTTTATGCAAAAATGTTATATTGTAGTGTAGAAAATTGCAAAAATGGGACATATACGAAAATGTGCCAAGGATTTTCATCGTTTAGGTTACCAAAATCTAATTCAACGTAAGTATATATTTGATTTTTAGTAAACGTAACCTCACTTTTTTACACGATGAAATATAAACTTTTGAAATACTGTCATATTATTACTTAAGTATACACAGAATTCTAAATTTTTATATTAAAAAGTTGTTGGAAATATTTATTATTATATTATTTATATTATTATTATATTATTTTTGTCATGAAAATATAATTTTTTATCCTTGAATTAAAAATAAAAAATTATAACATTTCGCAGTCGAAGAAAATGGCTCAAATTCGCTGGGGTTAAAGAAACTACAAAGTTTCGAATCTGCGCGGAACATTTCGACAAAAAATGTTTTAAAACATTTCATCCCAGGCCCTTATTGAAGCCAGATGCAATTCCAACTTTGCACAAGGGAAAGAAGTGCACCGCAGGGCACTTTTTTAAAAGAAATGTCCCAAAAATTGCAAACTGCTCGATTTGAAGGGCGTCAACCAGCTTGTTTAAAAGGTTTGGTGCTTACGATTCATTCTGTTCTTCAATTGTCGGATGATTTGCGTAAATCATACAATATTTCTTCTCTTTTAACCCGTAGGATGAATCAAGATCCATTAGAAAATTTCTTTTCAACTATAAGACAAGCACACGGTTGTTCAACAGATCCTTCACCAAAGCAATTTGAAAATGCTTTTCGTCAACAATTAATTACTTATTTGGGTAAATTGTCAAAACTATCTAATTGCGAAGACGATGATAGTAAAATGATTCTTCAGTTGCGAAACATTAAAAACATTGAAATGCAAGTGCCATCAAAAATTCCTCAAGTAGAAGTTAATATTTCAAACTATGAAAAAATATTCACTGAATCACAGGAATTTACACAGTCCAGTGCAGCGTATTACTGTTCGGGATATGTTGCTAAACTGTTTTTTTCTCAACACTCTTGTGATTTATGCATAAACATTATAAAACAATCAGATAATGATATTTATAAAGATTATCAAGTTTTTACACATTTAAAGTCGTACAGTGATACACAAGGCTTAATTTTTGTCAAGGAAAGCATTTTTCAATGTTTTCTCGAGTGGGAGGAAAAATTTAAGAGTATAATTAAAGCTAATTATCATTTGAAAAACATTTCTCTAATTCTGTCATGTATTCTAAAACACAGTTGTTCTTCTATAAACCTTTGCACAACTGAAACTTCTGAAACTTTTTTAAAAATATTTCTTCGGGTAAGATGCCATTGGGAAGCTCGGTTTATAAGACGCGCTTTAAGTTTAATAAAAAAAAGAAAGTCGTGTCCTGAAGGTAATTTAATAGATAAAGATTTTAAAAAGATGTCACGATTTATAGGAAAAATTTATTAAATCATACTCTGTCATAAAAAACGTGCTGTAATCGGTTAAAATAACGAAATTTTATAATATTACTATATTTTAAAACATGTTAAAACTACGAAAAGATTTATGTAAAAAATGTTTTAATTATAAGCCTTGATAACAAACAGCAGTTTGTATGAGATCTCGTTTATATATTAAATGAAATTTATATATTTAATGCGTATGTGTTCACGTTTTCAAAAATAAATATTTATACGTATAAATTATATTTATATGAAAACAACATTAAAATAGTATTTTTTCGTTATATTTCAAACGTTTTTTTATATTCACATGTATTTTTTTAATTACGACAAATAAAAATATTTTTTAAATTAATTTTGCATCACACTTATTATTTATAAAAAAATGTTTGAACAAAAATTTATTTAATTTAATAAAAATATGTAATTAAATATAATCCGGAAATTTGAATTTTCCCGCTAATGCTCTTGGTGGGGGAAATTCGTGTCGGAACGAACCTGTTGAGGGCGCTGAAAATCGTGTACGATTATTTACATTGCTCTCTTATGGGACCTTCCACTCTCCCTAATACTCTCTGATTCTTTTGATCGCTCTTGTTATTATTTTTGGCGTAAAATTTTGAAAAATTGTTTAAAAAAACACAGGTACTAAAGGTTTTATTATACATTATTAGTAAATACTAAAAGATTTATTGAAATTATATTTATTAGTTCTATCTTTTGTGTAAAATTTGTCTAAAAATTATTTTTATCTTTATTGTCAAAAAAATGTCTAAAAGTAAACAAATTTAGTTCAAAATGTTAAAAAATTAAAATAATAACTTCAATAATTGAACTTTGCTTGAAATAATTTTCTTCTGTTAAAGGAAAATTTTCTAGAAAAATTATTTTTACTTTATTGTCAAAAAAGTAAAAAAATGTCTGAAAGTAAACAAATTTAGTTCAAAATGTCAAAAAATTGAAATAGTGACTTTGTTTATAATAAGTTTCTTTGTTTAAAGGAAAAATGTCTAAAAGACATTCGAAAGAATCGAAACACAATTATTATTCACCATCAAAAAAACAACGACTGAGTATAACAATTGAAAGTGGATCGAAAACTAACAATAGACAATCCACGAGTAAAAAGCAAGATGATATATGGGGCGATGATTTCCCGGAAGATGTTTTGGAGAATATTGACACTATTGCATCGCAAGCTTTCAGTCAAGTTAGTTTTCTTTTTGTATATTCGTTAGTAATAATAATCGTTGTATTATTGTAATCTGTTCGCAGTTTAAAGTTAGTTGCTGTTTGTTTTTTTTTTGTTTCATAACTTTTTAAATAATTTTTCTTTTTAATTGTTTAAAATTTGAAAATTAATGTACTGAAAATCATTGAATTCTTGTAAAGTATTTATAAAAAAAATTTGAAAATAATTGAATTTTATGAAGAATTCAATTATTTTCAAAAATTGTAATCAAAATTCTGTTGTCAATTTATAAATAATAAAAATCTTCGTAAAAAATTCAATTGGTTTTATAAACCAATAATAAAATTCTGATCAGGATTTCATATATTTTCAATACACAATTTTAATTAATTTCTTTGAAAATTTCAATTATTTTTAAAAATCTTTTTTAAATTTTCCGAGAAAATTTAATTATTTTTAAAAATAATTGAATTTTTTCACAGGAGTTCAATTATTTAAAAAGCTTTTAATTAAATTCAAATCAAGAATTCAATTATTTTTAAAAATACATAATGGAATTTTCGCTGGAATTCAATTATTTTAAATACAATTTTAATTGAATTCCAGGTAAAATTTAATTATTTTTAAACATGTTTTTTAAATTCATCAAAAGAATTCAATAATATCCATAAATAAGTAAATTTTTCACAGGAGTCCAATTATTTTAAATACAATTTTAATAAAATTCTTCTCAAAAATTTACTTATTTCTTAAAATTTTGCAAAAATTCAATTATTTGTAGAAATAATAAATTTTTTCGCAGGGATTAAAATACTTAAAAAAGTTTTAATAAAATTTTATTCAAGAATTCAATTATTTTCAGAAATAATTAAATTGTCGATATACTGAAAATGATTGAATTCTTGTAAAGTATTTATAAAAAAATTTGAAAATAATTTAATATTATGAAGAATTCAATTATTTTCAATAATTGTAATAAAATTCTGTAGTTAATTTATAAATAATAAAAATCTTCGTAAAAAAGTCTATTATTTTTATAAACCAATAATAAAATTCTTATCAGGATTTCACGTAATTTCAATACAATTTTAATTAATTTCTTCGAAAATTTTAATTATTTTTAAAAATCTAGTAAAAATTTTCCGAGAAAATTAAATTATTTAAAAAAAAAATAATTTAATTTTTCACAGAAAAATTGAATTGAATTTTGTTAAATTTTTTGAAAATTCTAATTAAATTCTTTTTGAAAAATTTCTTTGAATTTTTTTTTTTTAAATAATGGAGCTTCTGTAATAATTTTAATTAAAAATATAGAAAGTAATTAAATTTTATGAACAATTTCTTGCAAGTTTTAAAAAAATCGTGTTTATTAAAAATTAAAATTAAACATTTAATTATTGAATTTTATTAAAATTTTAGAAAGTAATTGAATTTTTTTGAGAAATTTTATAACGAATAAAGAAAAAAATTGAATTGTTTCGTGGAATTTTTTTGAAAATAATTGAATTTTTTCGAAAAATATTAAAAAAAAAAAAATTGAATTCTTTTATGAAATTTTATTTATTAAAAATAATTGAATTTTTGCATATAATCTTACTATTTATTTAAAACTGAATTCAAAGGAATTATTAAAATTTTAGAAAATAATTGAATTTTTTCGAAAAATATTATTAAAATTAAAAAAAATGAATTCTTTCTTGAAATTATATTTATTATAAATAATTAAATTTTTGCAAATAATTTTACTATTTATTAATATAATTGAAATGTTTCAAAGGATTTATTAATATTTTAGAAAATAATTAAATTTTTTCTCGAAAAATATTATTAAAATTTCAAAAAAAAATTGAATTCTCTCCTGAAATGTTATTAAGATTTTATTAAAAATAATTGAATTTTTGCAAATAATTTTACTAAAATTTAAAAATATAATTGAATTGTTTCGAAGGATTTATTAACATTTTAGAAAATAATTGAATTTTTTCTCAAAAAATATTATAAAAACTTTTTAAAAAGATTGAATTCTTTCCTGAAATGTTTTTTTAAAATTCCATTAAAAATAATTGAATTTTTGCAAAGAATTTTACTATTTATAAATAAAATTGAATTGTTACGAAGAATTTTTAATCAGAATTGTCGAAAGTAATTGAATTTTTATTAAAACTCTTAAAAATAATTAAATTTAAATAATATTTTTAAAAATAATTGTATTCTTTTGAGAAATTTTATTAAAATTATATTGGAAATAATTGATTTCCTCCGAAACATTTTATTATTTATGAAAATAATTGAATTCCTTTAGAGAATTTTATTATTTATAAAAACATTTTAATTCTTGCGAAGAATTTTTTTATTTTTGAAGATAATTAAATTCTTGCGGATGATTTTACAATTCATAAAAATAATTAAATTGTTTTGAAGGATTTTATCTGAATTTTTTAAAATATAACATTTTTTAATTTACAATATAATAAGAAATGGAGTTCCGCGTATTATCTGCTAGTTTTAATATAAAGAATAAAGAAATTATTATTTATTTATTTATGGTATACTTTTGTTGGTATACTTTTGTATATAAATGAAAAAGTATCACTTTAAATTTGTCATGACAAATTAATTGACAATTTCTTTTAGATGGTTAATGTCTCTAACGAAAGTATAGAAGCAGTTGAATCACTACCCTCTACTGTAACGAAAACTTCGAGTTCCTGGTCCGTTCCTTCTTTTGATGTAAAAACTCATGCACCAGGTCCAAAAACAAGTCCAACTAATGTTCCCAGTACATCGACAAATTTCAATCATCAAAAGACAGTTTGTTCATTTAAACCAAAAATAAGGGAATCTAGAGGAACTTTTTCAGAATCAAAACATTTACAAATAATTCATGATTCGAAAATTAATAACAGTAATAATAAAAAAACAATTCCATCATGTGAAACAACGCCCTACAGTCAGTCAACTCAATTAGCTTTTGGAGATTTTAAAACAAAATTACTGAACGAAAATAACATGAACTCAACATTCTTATCGCAAAATTCCTACGTTCATGTACCTGGTAATTATTTCTTTCTTTCTTTCTTTCTTTCTTACTTTCTTTATTTCTCTCTTTTCTTTCTATATTTCTTTCTTCCTTTTTTATTTTTTTCTTTTCTTTACTTTTTTCCATTCTTTTCTTTATTTTTCTTCGTTCGTTTCTTTTCAAGACGATTTTTTTTCCAGACGATTCGCAACTTGATCAAATAGCAAAATTGCGAAACGAAAAAACGAAATTGGAGTCCAATGTAATGACCAAGGATGGAGAGATATTTTTTTTAAGAGGACAACTAGCAACGGAGAAAAAGAAAACAATAAGCTTTAAATCTGAGTCGAGTAAATTATTAAAAGAACAGGAAATTAATTTCAAGGCAGAATTGCAGGCTTTAAAGAAAGAGAATGATAATATTGCAACACAACTGAAATTAAAGGTAATTTATAATTTACGATATTTTTATAATAAAGTTGAAAAATTGGTGTTTCTTTATACAAAAATTTTTTTTATTTTTGACTACAGATTTTAGAGATGAATAACTTAAAGGATAAGACAAAAATGCTCGAGAAGGGAGCTATAAAATTTATTGAACCCCAATCTCCGAGTTTCGATTCGGGAAGAAGGAATAAAACAATAATGAGGTGAGTTTTTGGAAATTTGTTTCTTACAAAAACAATTTAAATTTATAAAAAATGAAATAATTACAGGACTCGGATATTATGACTTTTTCGACTTTTTTCGACTTATTTTCAAAAATAGTGACTTTTTTGACTTATTTCCAAATATTGCATCAAAATACCACATTTTTAGTATAAATTGCAAATTATTTCGATTTTTCTAGTGTGAAAAATAACTATACAAATCTTTTGAAAAATTATTTTTGAATAATTTTTTTAATTAAATTTTCGAAATATACAATTAAAAAGAATTAGAATAATTGAAATTTTGTAAAATTTAATTGAAAATAAATGATTTTTTCAAGAAATTACAATTTTACAATACAATATCTATTAACAATTTTTTAAATCAACGTTTGAAGATATTTGATTGCAAATTTTGTGAAAATAATAATTAAATTCTCAAAAAATTTAATGAAAAATCTTCAAGTGTAAATTTATGAAAATGAAAATTAATGAAAACTAGCTTCTAAAAAATTGTATTGAAATTTTTTTTAAAAAAGTAATTCTTAAAATTTTTTTTTTATTATAAATTTTTAAAATTCAATTATTTTAAATATTTTCAAAAACATATTAATTCCGAAAATTCAAAAAAAAATAAAAACATTTACATTTTTCGGAATTATTTTTAACATTTTGGAGAAAACAATCATTGTGAAAATTTTTAATTAAAATTCTTCAAAAAATTACTTAGTTTTTTTTAAATTATACAAGAATTCTTTTAAGAAATTCAATTATTTTCGAAAAATTACATTAGAATATTTTTAAAAAACTAATTCTTAGAATTGTTTTGAATATAAATAATTTTTTGCGAAGAATCTTACTATTTAAAAATATAATTGAATTGTTTCGAAGGATTTATTAACATTTTAGAAAATAATTGAATTATTTCTCAAAAAATATTATAATAATTTTTAAAAGAATTTAGTTCTTTCCTGAAATGTTATTAAAATTGTATTAAAAATAAATGAATTTTTGCAAAGAATTTTACTATTTATAAATAATAAAATTTAATTGTTTTAAAAGATTTATTAAAATTTTAGAAAATAATTTAATTTTTTCAAAAATATAATAATAATAATAATAATAACTTTAAAAAAACATGGACAATAATTACAGTTACAAGATAAAATTTTTCTTGCAACACTGTATTAAATAAACGACTTTTTCGCCTTTTTTTGTATTTTTAATCGACTAAAGCGACTTTTTTTGTGTCTTAAAGTCAATCCGAGGCCTGTAGTTATTAAAAAATGAAATAATTATTAAGAAGTAATTATAAAAAAAAAATTAAAAAAGAATTATAAAAATAAAATAAGTATTAAAAAGTAATTATAAAAAAATAATTTTAAACCTTTAAAAATCATCGTTTTCCAGTTGTAAGAAAAATTCATCTGTCAAAATAACATACAAAGAGACTGCAACTCAAATGGAAGTCAACAATGCCCAGAAATATGAATCTAAAGATTCTTTAACTTGTAAGTAATATTAATTATTAAAAAAAATTACCCTTTCCTATTTATTTATTATCTTTTTTAATCTTTTACCTATTAATGTAATATTTAATTTGTATTTGTTTGTATTTTGTAATGTATTTTTTATTTTAAATTTATTTATTTATTTATTGAAATATTTATTAATTATTTTATATTAATTATAAAATATCGATTAATATGAACTCTAAATTTTAATTAAATAATATAAACTGAATAAATATTAATTACTTTTTAATGTCTCTTGATAATAAAATGTAATTTTCATTGCAGTCTATCCACTGCAGCAAATTCCACAATCAATATTTGAAAGATCTGAACCAGAGATTCCAATTATCGATATTCATGTGGTGGGAAAAATTGGGAGAAGAAATTTACCGATTTTACAAGAGACAAATAATTTGAGAGTATTTGGTAAATAAATTAATTTTCAAAAATACTATTTTCATTATTCGATTTTTTTTTCTTTTTTTGAAAATAATCAGTTGCTTTCTTGTTAAAAATAATGTTGTCTTTTATTGAAAATTTCTTTTGTATTAATATAATAATTTCTTTTCTTTTGTAGAAAATACAGAAGCAGTGAAACCCGTTGTGACTTATGTGGATAACAAAGAATTGAATGTTCAATTTTTTTTAGTCAATTTAAGTAAACTTTTGAACAAAACAACAGAGGAAATAAATTCGAGTGATAGTTTACCCATAATAAACATGGTAAGTGAATTTTTTCTAATCGTTAATAAAATATAAAATTCTTAATTGAAATCATTTCAAAATGTAAATTGAAAATAGAAAATTTTCCATTTGAAAGTTTATAACTTTATAATTATAATAATTTTGATTTAATTAATTAATTAATAATTTTCGATTAATAATAATTATTTTCTTTAGATTACCGCGACAGGAAGGGAACTTTTACTAAATACTTCAACGTCGCTTAAAAAAATTTTCGATGTTATGATCAATGATGATATAAGGGATATGAACGATTTCTACCTTTCAAAATACAGTTCAATTAAAATTTCGGATATTGATAACATTTTTAGTGGGAAAAAATTGTTCGATAAAGAGAGGGCAATCGAAGCGAGAAGAACGCTTGCAGTTATTTCACACATTGTCGAGACTTCAACTTATTTGAGTGAATATGTAACGGGAAAAAAACTATTGAAAGTCAATGATGACTATTTCTACCAAAGCTACATTAAACAATTTAACACTTACAATTCGTGGAGCAATAAAGATTGTGATTTTGAATTTTTGGAAATGATTCTACAATTCGTGAAAATTATGGGTTTAACAGTGAGTTGTTTTTATTTTGTTGCTTGCTATTTTTATGTGTTGATTTTTTCTTTTCTGTTCTTCCTTTTTTCTTTTCTATTTATTTATTAACAATTTTTTTTTTCATTACTATTCTTTTTCTATTTACTATTTATCTATTTTCTCAAAATTTAATCTAATTTTTCTTAATTTCAGAGAAATGCTCATCAATTCTGCGGAGCTATCAATGCAATTATCATGATTTTAATTAATGTGCAAAAAACTGTTGGTTTTTGTCCAACTGGGTAATTATTTCAATTTATGAATAACACGTTTTATAAATTTTTTGCTACCTGGAAAAAAATTCTAATGCTGAAAAACTAAATTTATAAAAAACGAAGTTCAAAAAATGTTCTTCAATTATTATAGTTTAATTAAATTATTAATTAAAATTCTTTCAGGTTAGATTACGTTTACAAAATATTTCGAGAAATAGTATTTTCCAGACCGATTGTTGAAAATATTCCAGCAGTAAGTGAAATGTTGATGACATTCGCCAACTGTAAAGAATTCACGAAGAAACTTTGCTTTAGCGGTGGTAAGAATTTTTTGCTTAGAAAAAAACTTGAAATATTTATTTAAAAAAATTACAATATTTATAATATTTTTATTGTTTATTATTTTATTGATTTTATTGATTTTTGTTTATTTATTAATAATTTTTGATACATTTCAGATCATTCGGTCGTTAGTTCGAGCAGTGATATTTGGTACTTCAAGGTAGAACCAAACACGTGCATAATTGAAATTTTCATATCGCAAATAAATAAATTAGTAAATGATCCAATTGTAGTTATGAATATGTCGTATGCAATTGTATCATTCATCGAAAAAGTTCGTCCCACTAATGCCTTTCCATGGAAAGCTAGTCAACGAAATTCTTGCAAATGCTGTTCGTTGTTAATTAATTTTGCCGTTAAATCACTTTATAAGTGTATGAAAGTGAGTGTCGACGAATTGGAAGCAAATTTTAGAAATCAACGAGCAACAAATGATTTTTCGAGAATGTCAAAGAAAGAATTTTGGAATAATTTGAAGAAAAAACAAGAAGTAATGGCAGCATTGGGAATTGAATTTTTTTGTCATCTAATGAACAATGAATATTTTTATATTATTAAAAGAGCTGAAATGGCGTATACCTTATGCCAATTTGTAAATCATGTTGAAAAGATGTTTGATATACGGCAAGTTGAAGATTTTGGTAAGTAACTTTAAATAGTTATTTTTATATTTTGTCTATTTTACATATATTCAGGGCTCGAACCAGTAAATGTATTTAAAAATACGAACTTTGCGGACCAAAAATTGAAACTTATGAACCAGTTACGGACCATTTACTGACAAAAATATAACCAGTCCAAGTCAAATAAGAGAACATTTTATTTAAAACTAGAAATTCAATTTTTCATAACTATAAAACATGAAGAAATCGATAACTCCGAGTCTTCGACTCGGAATGATCGGTTTTTTCATGTTTTATAATAGACCGAGTGATAAAATCATTATAAATTCAGTTATTATTTTTAAGATTTAAACTTCAAAAAATTCAATTATTAACTAATTTACTAATTAATTATTCTTGTTTATAAATTTCAAAAATTTTAATAAAATTCTTCATAAGAATTCAATTATTTTTGTAAATAGTACAATTTTTTGCAATAATTCAATTATTCAATTTTAAGAAAATTTCACGAACGAATAAAATTAATTTATAAAATTTTCATAAATCCTTCCAAATAATTTAATTATTTTTTTTAACTAGTAAAATCTTTGCAAAAATTCAATTATTTTCAAAAAAATTTCACGAAAGAATTCAATTTTTTTCGTAATTCTTTATAAAATCTTTGCAAAAATTCAATTACTTACAAAACAAAAATTTCATGAAAGAATTCAATTTTGAAAAAAATTTTATAAATATTTTTCCAAAAAATTCAATTATTTTTAAAAATTTGAATAAATCTTTCGAAACAATTTAAATTTTAATAATATTTTTAGAGAAAAAATTCAATTATTTTAGAAAATTTTAATAAATTCTTCAAAACAATTAAATTATATTTATAAATAGTATAATTCTTTGCAAAAATTCCATTATTTAAAAAAAAAAAATAAAATAAAATCTTCAAAAAGAATTTAATTAGAATTTTCAAAAGTTTTAACAACATTCTTTGAAAAAATGCAATTACATTTTTAAATAGTAAAATTCTTTGCAAAAATTCAATTATTTTTAATAGAATTTTAAAAACATTTCATGAAAGAATTCAATCTTTTTAAAAAGTTTTAATAATATTTTTCGAGAAAAAATTCAATTGTTTTCTAAAATTGTAATAAATCTTTCAAAACAATTCAATTTTATTATTTATAAAAAATAGTAAAATTCTTTGTAAAAATTCAATTATTTTTAATACAATTTAAATAACATTTGAGGAAAGAATTCAATTTAAAAAAAAAATAATTATAATATTTTTTAAGCAAAAATTCAATTATTTTCTAAAATGTTAATAAATCTTTCGAAATAATTCAATTATATTTTTAAATTGTAAGATTCTTTGCAAAAAATTAATTATATTCAAAACAATTTTACGAAAGAATTCAATTTTTTTAGTTATAAAATATTTCAATACAATTCAATTATTTTTAATACAATTTTAATAACATTTCATGAAAGAATTCAATTTTTTTAAAATTTTAATAATATTTTTCGAGATAAAATTTAATTATTATCTAAAATTTTCACTAAAATTCATTTTTAAATCAATTTTTATTAAAAAATTCTACTAAAATTCAATTATTTAAATACAAAAATAAATAATTTTTTGAATAATTGAATGTTTCTTAAAATTCAATTCCCATAACGAATTTTATCAACAAATTTTTAAATAATTGAATTCTTTCGGCGAATTTTAATCAAATTTTTAAGAATAATTACATTTTTCGAGAAATTCGATTAAAATTGTATTAAAAATAATTAAAATTCCGCGATGAGTTTTATTATTTGTAAAAATAATTGAATCCCTAAAAAGAATTTTATTATTTTTGAATAATATTTAATTTTTGAGAAAAATATTATTACTCTTGAAAATAATTGAATTTCTGCAAAAATTTCTAACTTTTCCAAAATTAATAATAATAATAATAATTTTTGGAAAAGTTCTTTTAGAATTTTCAAATTCATTTCTTTACAATTCAATTTTACAAAATTTCAATTATTTGTAAATTGTTAAATTAAATATAAATTAGATAATAAAAACTTGAAATAATTTCAAAAAAAAAATCCGCAATTAAATTTTCTCAAAAAAAGTAATTCCACAGAATTATTAGTTAAAAATATAAAAATATAAAAAATATAAAAAATTCAGATTTTCAAAGATTTTAATTTGAATGTTATCAATAAATTTATAAATAATTGAATTCTTTTGACGAATTTTATTTTTACAAAGATCATTTCATTTTCGTTAATAATATAAAGTTTTTGAAAATAATTGAATTTCTGCCAAGAATTTTATTATTTATTGAAAAAATTGATTTCCTGGGAACAATTTTGTTTTTTATAAATAATAATTGAATTCATGGGAAAAATTTTGTTAAAATTTTTGAAAATAATTGAATTTCTGCATAGAATTTAATTTCTGCCAAGAAATTTATTTTTTACAAATGATAATTGAATTTTTGGGAAAAATTTTGTTAAATTTTTTGAAAATAATAGAATTTTTCCAAAGAATCCAATTTCTGTGATGAATTTTATTTTTACAAAGATAATCTCATTTTCGTCAATAATTTGTTTAAATATTTTAAAAATAATTGAATTAAAGGTTTTGCATAGAATTTTATTACATTTTTTTTTTAAATAACTGAATTTTTTTGGAAAATTTTATTCAAATAGTAGATTTTGAAAAATCATTAAATTGCGGAAAATTTTGGAAAATAATTGAAATTTTTCCAAGAATTTTATTAAAATTCCTTGAAATAATTGAATTTCGGAGAAGAATTTAATTATTTCTCAAAAGGTTATTGAAATTTTGACGAGAATTTAAAAAAATTTTTGAACATAATATAATTGAATTTTTGCTGGATTTACGGACCTAGTTCGAGCCCTGCATATTTTATTTTTCCATTTCTTTTATTTTTATTTATTATTTTATTTTAATTGAATTTAAATATATCAGTCAATTTTTACATTTGAAAATAATTTTAGAAAGTGCACGTGATAGAATTAACAACTTTATTAATGAACCCGAGAAAACAGATGCACCAGAAATTCCAGTTCAAATAGACTTAATGGGAAAGACGAGAAAACTGGAACAATCTGGAAGGAAATTTAACCAGGAATCGCGATTTGAATGTTTTAGTAAGAATCTCGAAAACTCATCGTAAAATTATTTTAATTTTTTAAATTTAATTTAATTTAATTTAATTTAATTTAATTTAATAATAAAATCAAGGTAATAAAACTGAAAATTAAAACCTACCTTTGAATTTAGTTCTTAACTATAATTAAGAAAATATGTTTATAAATTTTTTTTTGAAAATTCAAACATCTGTCCGGACAAAATAAAAATGAAACAACTTTTTTCAAACTTGTTTTAAGTTTTACCAATGAAATTTAAATATTTTGTTTATTTACTTTGTCCGGACTGTGGTGTTAACCAGTTGAAATGTTTCTTTAATGGTTTGAAAATATTTTCATAATTTCCGCGGTAAAGTAATAGAAGCACGCTGATTGGTTAACTAAACTTAAAGCTCGTTTCATTTAACATGTTTTTGAGAACACAGAACACACAAGAACACAAAATTTCAATTGATATTTGTTTGACGATATTCGCATTTTCCGATTTTCTTTATCATTGACAATTAAGAACGATTAAAAATTAAAGAACATTTCTGATTAATATTTTTCGAATTATCTTTTTACCAAGAATTTTTGTTTGTAGAAGTGATATAATGCAGTACTAATTTTATCGAAACAATCAAATTCGGTTGTGTTTGTTTATATTTTATTATCTTGGGCCATTAACTATTTCCCATGCGTGTATGTATGTAATTATCAACAATATTCAACAAGAGAAACAGAGAATTGAATTTGTTTACACTACCTCGGAAAATTTTCGTTTTCATGGATATTTTTTAAAGAAAACCCCGTCGAATCGGTGAGTGTTAATATTTTGAGGTTAGAATTTTCGTAACATTTCGTAAAATGCGATTTTCAATGATTTTTGTCTCTTTTCTATTTTATTCACAATATTTTCGATTGTTTTTGTTTACTTTTTTTGACATTGATTTTTTTTTCAATTGACAAAATTTGTTTTGTAAACATTTTGATGATTCAAAATACATTGTCTTTTGATTAAAATTAAATGTGTATAGAATAAATGATATAAATGTATAATTAATGTCTTGATTTGTATTTTCAATTCTAATTTTCTTTTTATAGAAATAAAATACAATTACAGTATAAAATAATATTTTTTTATGTTTATTTTTTCAAAGGAAAAGTAATTGCAAAAGATTAGTTAATAAACAGTTAATTAATTAATATTAATAAACAGTTAATATTTTCGTTTCAGTAAATTGATTCAGGAGAAATGACGGAACAACTGTCAGTTAATCCACAAATGAGGATGGACGAATCCTCGAAAACAAAGGCTGTCGATCATTCTATGATTAATGGAAGTGACAATCAAACTATGGATCAATCGGGCAACAATCAAGCACTTAATGATCCAGTAACAAAGGCTGTTGTCGATAATATAATGGGAAATTTGCCCACGAAAAAACCCTTCTATCGTTGTGATGATTGTGATCTCTCGTTTACAAGTAATGCAGTATTAGATGCTCATCTACAAGGTGCACGACACGCCAAGCAGGTAAAAGAAAGTAAATTAGCTAATTGTAATTATTTAGAATTGATAAATTCGATTGTTTAATAATTTCTTAACGATGAATATGTTTATTGTCACTATTTTTGAGTTTTTATTTACTTTTAAAATCTCTTTTTTAAATTATCTCAAAATTGTTTCCAAAAATGTTTCTTTTCTCTCTCACTCTCTAAACAAAATATATAATTTTTTACCTGATTTATTCATAATAGATTAGATCGAGAAACATAATGGCCACCCTGGATGAATCAAAAATTCCATTTGCGAAGGATGCAGAAACAAATGGACTTCAATGTAATGTGTGTAGTGTTCGCCTTAATTCGTTACAACAACTCCATACACACTTAAATGGTAAAATAATTCATTGTATAAAATTGGTATAATAATTTAATAGTAAATTAATTTAACGAATAATAATAATAATAAATTTTATTACAAAATAATTAAAAAACAGTTTTAACAAAACGTTCATTATTATTAATTACTATACAGAGTTGCCACAGGTCAGAAAATTCAGGAAAAAGTCAGGGATTTTTATTAACAATACTGGAAAAATGAAATTTTTAGAATTCATAAGAAAATTCTGAATTTTGTCTTTTTTGTTTGCTTCATAAACTATGAAATTAATAAGAATTCAAAACTTTCAATTTTGTCTATTTCTGACAATGATTTCTTATTAAATAACTTAATTCTTGTAGAAGTATCATTAAAATAATTACTAATAAATTATTTAATGAATAATTTTACTCAAATATTTCAAAATTAATTAAATTTTAAAAGAGTTGCGTTTACAATTTTCGTAAATAGATAAACTTCAAAAGGTTTTAATTTGAAATTAGAAAATTTCAATTTTCAATGAATTTAATTAGAAAGAACTTGGATTTATACAAAAAATTTTAATAATTCAAATTCTTCTGAAATTAGTTAAATTTTTTTACTATATATTTAATTAATTATTAAGAACAATTGATTCAAAGAAGCATTTTTGTTAAAAACTAAAATAAAATTGAATTTTGGAAAAGTTTCAAATAATTGCAGAAATTCAATTCTTATCAAAAGTAATAAAATTCTTCGCAAAAATCCAATTAATATGTTCAAAAAATTTTTTAAATTCTCGTGAAAATTTAAAATATCTTTATAAATAATAAAATTCTTTTACGAAATTAAATTATTTTCAAACATTTTTTTCAATTCAATAATTTTCAAAATTTATTTTAATAAAATTTTTCAAAATAATTCAATTATTTAAACAAAAATTAATTAAATTCTACGCAAACATTTAATTATTTTCATAAATAATAAAAATTTCACAGGAATTAAATTATTTTCACAAATAATAAATTTTTTACAGGAATTCATTATCTTGATAAATAACAAAATTCTTCCAAAAAATTCAATAATTTTTAGGAATTTTAATAAAATTCTTTGCAAAATTCAATTATTTTCATAAATAAATTTACCAAAAAAGTTCAAATATATAAAAACAATTTTTTATAAAATTATTTTAAAAACTTTTATAAAATTACTTGTAAGATTGGAATGATTTTCAAAAATAGTAAAATTCTTCACTGGAATTTTATTTATAAAATTTTAATGAAATTCTTTACAAGAATTAAATTATTTTCACAAATAATAAAATTTCAATTAGGAATTCAATTATTTTCAAAAACTTTAAACAAATTATTGACGAAAATAAAATTATCCTTGTAAAAATAAAATTCATCGCAGAAATTGAATTTATTTCCAAAAATTTAAATTAAATTCTCCTAAAAATCCAAATAATTTCATAAATAATAAAATTCTTGACAAAAATGCAATATTCATAAAAATTTTATTAAAATTCGTCTAAAGAATTCAACTATTTCAAAATTTGTTGATAAAATTGTGTATAAGAATTCAATTTTAAGAAATATTCAATTATTCAATAACTTATTCACTTTCGTATTTAAATAATTGAATTCTCATAGAATTTTCTAATAAAAATTGATTTAAAAATTACTTTTAATTAAAATTTTACATAATAATTGAATATTAAAAGCAATATAGCGTTAGTTTGTACAAATAATTGGATTTTGAAAAGGTTTATTAAAATCTTTAAAAATTTGAATTTTCTGACAATTCTGTAGAATTAATTTTTTTTGAAAAAAGTTTAATTGAGAATTTTTTTAAAAATTATTTCAAATTTTTATTTTCTAATATATTTAATTAAAATTTTGTAAAATTGAATTGTAAACAAATGAATTTGAAAATTCTCAAAGAACTTTTTCAACAAATTTTGAAATTAATTGATGTAAAGAAGAATTTTATTTGAAATTTCTAGAAAATTAGAATTAAAATTAAATTTTTGTGGCAATCCTATTATTGTTATAGTTCAGCATTGATATTTTAAGATTACTTATTCATTGTATAATGTACAACAATTTTTACTTACTATTTTAATTATTTTCAGGAAATCGACATAAAAAGAAAGCGATAAGAGGTAATAAATCAACTGGAGTGAAAACTGCATCAAACCATAGTTTTAAGACTAGACGAACGTCACTTTTTGATCAAATGATTCGTAAAGAGACCGTAGTTTTGGTTTATTGCTTGATTGTTTTCACATTTGCATGTCTCACTTTATTGCTTACATTTGTTTTTCACGTTTATATTATGTAAGCGTTAGGAAAATTCGCTTCGCTTCGATTTAATTTATTTTTTTTTTCGCTTCGATTTTCGTTTTGTTGTAATATTTATATATTTTTTTTGTTTCTTTTATTAAGAGCAAAATATTGCTTCTTTAAATTTGTTTTTTATTAAGAGTAAAAACTACTTCGATTTGCTTTATACTTAAAATTTTTTTTTTGTTTTTTTTATAAAGAGCAAAAATTGCTTCTTTAAATTTTTTTTCGTGCTTTTTGTTCTGTTCGAATATGTTTGTGTATATATTTTATTATTCATTCGTTGTATTGTATATTTATTTATTATTTATTTTTTGGTATCAGACTGGAGAAATTAGTTTAACGTTTTCCCGTTGATTCTGAATACATTAAAAGCGGGGTATAAATATTTTTCATTGTATGAATAAATTATGATTTCATTTATATTTTTTTTATGTATTTTTTATTTTGTGTTTGTATAAAATTTGTGTTTTCTTTATATTTTTTTAAATTAGGATTTGATGTAAGTAGATATTTAGTTTATTCGTAAATATTTCGATAATTTTTGTTGATATATTTTGTATTTATTAATTTGTTTTTTTATTTTAGTTAATAATTAGCGATTTTAGTTAAAATTTTAGTTAAAAATTACGATTTTATTTAAGGTGGATGGCGAATGCCAGAATCGGAAAGTGACATTCAATTAGGACTTCCATCGTCTTCACAAAGTGTTATAACCGGACAGTTATTACAAAAAACCACCTGCCGTCCTTGCAAAGAAACGTTTGACAGCTTAAAATCATACAAAAAAGTAATTTTTATCCTACATTTTAGTTTAATTTAAAATTTAATTCAAAATATTTCTTTTCTTTCTTTATCTATAAAAAAAACTTCGCAATTTCTTTCTTTCTCTAAAAAGTAAAAATTGTAGAAAAAATATAGAAATTCGTAAAATATTTACGAATAATATTCTAATCAAAAAAATAAATAAATGATTTCTAATTTGCAGCACTGTAATAAAAAGAAACACTTGGACTTGGTGCGATTCAAGAAGAAGGAGAAGAAACGAAGAATATTTATTGATCTGCAAAAGAAGGAGGCAAAGGCAAATCGTAAAGCTTCGAAAACAAACTTTAACGCCAAAGCGAATTTACAAAATTATTTTGTGTCAAGTGGCTTTATTCATAATGGCGTCTCGTGTAAAATGAACAATGACGCATGTTAATTAGAAACAAAGACAAGAAAGTGAAGTGAAGAAGACGAATGTAAGTATTGTTGAATTTTTTGTTTTTTTTTCTTTTACATTTCGCAAAAGTATCTTCATAGATTGAAATAATACGAATTTCGATTGTATGACAAAAAAAGTTTATTTAAATGATATTTCAATGAAACATTGAAAAATGATGCATGAGTGAAATTCAAGTCTCGGTATTGATGCCTGGATGACAATTAAAAGCAAGCTGTGAAATTTATAGCCGTTGTTTTCTTTCTTCTCAAACAATTTCTATGTTCGCAAAATATTTTCCGGCTGAAATATATATAAATTTTAACAATTTGAAAGAAAAAATTAAATTCAAACTTCAAATGTTGAAATTCTTTGTTGAAATTTTATATAATTTTTTATTTGTCAATTATTTTTTATTATTTATTCAGGGCTCGAACTAGGGCTCGTAAATTTGCTTCAAGTCCGAAAAAGTCAGTTTTTTTTTTAAAAAAGGTCCGTAAAGTCCGTAAAGATTGAGAAAAGACGAAAAGTTCGTAAATTGTACGATATAATTTGGAGAATTTTAGAGAAATTACTAATGATTGCAGAAATTCAATTATTTTCAAAAATAATAAAATTCTACGCAAAAATTTAATTATTTTCATAAAACAACAAAAATTTCACAGGAATTCAATCATTTACATATTTTTTATAAATTTCTTCGCAAGCATTCAATTATTTTTATAAATAATTGGGGTTCAATTATTTTCGTAAATAATAAAATTCTTTTTAGGAATTCAATTATTTTCATAAATAATAAAACTCGTTGCAGAAATTAAAAAACTTTTAATACAATTTTAATTGAATTTCTCGAAAAATGTAATTATTCTTAAAAATGTTATTAAAATTCGTCAAAAGAATTCAATTATTTAAAAATTTATTCATAAAATTCTTTATGGGAATTTAATTTTAAGAAAAATGAAATTATTCAATAAATTTTTTTTTCGTATTTAAATAATTGAATTCTAGTAAAATTTTCTAATAAAAATTGATTTAAAAATGAATTTCAGTTAAAATTTTAGTTAATAATTGGATATTAAAAGCAATATAGCGAGAATTTTTTTTTAGAAATAATTGAATTTTGAAATTAATTTTTTGAAAAAGTTGAATTGAATTTTTTTTATTTTATTTGAAGTTTTTATTTTCAAATATTATATTGAATTGAAGAAATTGCGAATAATTGAAATTACGTAAAATTGAATATTGCAAACAAATGGCTTTGAAAATTGTCAAAGAACTTTTTCGAAAATTTTTAAAAATAATCATTATTGTAAAGAAGAATTTTAGTTGAAAAATTGTTAAAAATTGTATAGGTACTGGTTTTGTAGTGTAAATTTTCTTTTGATAGTATTTTACCTGTTTGTAGGTCTTTAATAATCGATGTAGTTCGGAATTTTGTTGACGTAGTGATTCTGTTTCTTCATTGAGTTTATGTCGTTCTTTCAAAATATCGTGATATTTATTTAATCCAATTAGTAATGCGTCCCAGAGTGTTTCTTTTTCTTCGTTGAAAATTTCACGGTACCTTCCCCAGAATTTTGTGATGTCTTCAGTTTGAATATTTCTCGAAATTGTAAATTTTTGATTTATTAATTTTTCTTTAAAATCAGGGGTCGATTCGCCCTTCTGAATGGAGTGATATTTTTCCAAAAATTCCGTCAAGGCACGTATTACGTGTGTTACTTGAATTTGAAGAATGTGTCCCGCGTCACAAGTGACTTTTCGCTTTTTCAAATCGTCAGGACAGTCGCACGATAATTCTTCAATTGATCTTGAACCTATTGTGTACAAAAATGTAAAAAAAAATTTATAAATTATTTTTTAATTTTGTATCGTTTAGAATAGAAATTAAAATTGTAACTAATTTTCTTTAAAATCTACCTTCGATGGTGTCTTTGTCAGTTTTGGAACTTGTGCAGTCGAGTTTTTCGGCAAATGTACTTTCACTGCTTCTGCTTATTCTGCAGGGGGTAAAAATCGCTGCAACTTCTTCTTTTACAGTCTCAATTAATTTTCTGGTTGGCTCGTCTTCTGGTTCCTCATTGTCCTCTCTGGAAAATTTTTTTTTCAACTCTATAGTTTTTTTTTTTTTTCTTTTTGAAGAAAATTAAAAAAAAGTTCTTTTTTATTTTACTCGATTGGTGTAGAATTTGTTTCTGTTTTCTGAGATTCGTCCTTTTCGTTGTCAATACAAATTGGACAGTAAGTGTAAGGTAGGAAAAAATTCATGAGCATGTCGATATTTTCCGGAGAATCAATACACAAAGCCTTGAACAAAAATTAGATTTTTTTTTTGTTTATTGAACAAATAATCGTTTTTAATATTGAAAATATTTTTTCTCAACTTTTTTAATAATTTTTCTTTTTAAATATTTTCAATTTTAAAATTAATTTATTGAAAATCATCGAAATGTTGCAAAGAATTTTATCAAAAAATTTTCTTGACAATAGAATTTCATCCAAGAATTTTATTATTTAGGAAAATAATTGAATTCTCGTGAAGAATTATGTCAAAATTTTTTAAAATTCTGATTAAATTCTTTTTGAAGAATTTCATTGGATTTTTTTTAAATAATGGAGTTTATTAAGATTTTAGAAAATAATTGAATTCTATTGAAATTTTTTATAACGAATTACGAAAAAAATTGAATTCTTTTATTAAATTTATATTAAAAATAATTGAATTTTTTGCAAAGAATATTATTATTTATAAATATAATTGAATTGTTTCGAAGGATTCATTAAAATTTTAGATAATAATTGAATTCTTTAGAAAAAATTTACCATTTAAAAAAAATAATTTAATTGTTTTGGAAATGTTTTTGATAATAATTGAATTTTTGCAAAGAATTTTACTATTTATAAATATAATTGAATTGTTTCGAAGGATTCATTAAAATTGAAGATAATAATTGAATTCTTTAGAAATATTTTACTATTTAAAAAAATAATTGAATTGTTTTGGAAATTTTTTCGAAAATAATTGAATTTTTGCAAAGAATTTTACTGTTTATATAAATACTGAATTTTTTCGAAGGATTCATTAAAAGTTTTCAAAATAATTGAATTTTTGCTGAAATTATTCAAAAATTCATATTTGAAAAATTCATATTGAAAATAACTTTTTAAATTCAAAAAAGTATTGAAAATATTAGAAAATATTTTAATATTGAAAATAATTTTTTTAAATTCAAATAACCATTGAAAATATTAGAAAATATTTTAATATTGAAAATAATTTTTTTAAATTCAAAAAACCATTGAAAATATTAGAAAATATTTTAATATTGAAAATAATTTTTTAAATTCAAAAAAGTATTTAAAAATATTAGAAAATAATTATTTTCAATATTTAATTTGAAATTTTCGATTTTCTAGTGCAATAAATCACCTGAAAGACGCTGTCAAGTCTGACGATAATTTGATTTTCACTGCTGTGATTTAATAGTAATTCTTTCAGTTTGTCTTCAATTAAAAATCCCGCACGATCGGAAATTAATTTCATAATATGCACAAGTAATTTCCGTTCCAAATTGATTTCCTCCAGTGTTGTTGCTGGCTTGTATGGTTCGCACATTTTCATTTTCTCCGCGTCAATTTTCTTTTCTGGAAAAATATGCCAATGTTAAAGAAAAAGTTTCTTTTGTCAATTATAAATATTTTTCAATTTTTCGAAAATAATTTTCAATTCGTCTGATTTTTACTCTGTTCAATCACATTCATCGCTTTCATATAGGAAACTAAATCCTCTTTTTTCAGAAGTTTCTTCTTTGGTGCTTCCCATTCTAAACCCAATACTTGATCGAATATTAATTTATCGGCTGTTAATATCTAGAAAAAATAGCAATTATTCGAAAACAGTTTGAATTGTTTGAATTATTTTTAATTCTTTCCTCTTTTTATTTTTTCTTTAGTCTTTTTGGTTTTTGTTTCCTTTTTCCGATTTATTACTAAAAGATTTGTTCATAACTTCTTGTGTATTTTACATAATTTACCTTTTGAAATAAATCATTGGCAATTTTGCTATTCATTTCCCAAATTTCCATATAATTTTTCTCGTTAATCGCTGTAAATAGATCGGATTTTTCTTCTAGGTCTAAAATATTTTTATGAGCCCGAAGAACTTGATCGGACAATTTTTGCATTTCTAGTTTCGTATTTTCCTCTAAATTCGAATAAGTCTTTTTTAAATCACTAATTGTGTCATGTAACCTGAAAAAAGATTTCATGAAATAATTTCATCAAAAAAATTCTATTGAATGAAAATAATAATTTTTTAATAATAATTTTTGGTCGTCAAGTTTAATTTTCCGATAGCTACTTTTTTACCACTTTTTTTTAGTTTGAAAGCTACTTTTTCCTATTTTTTGAAAATTAATTATCGAGTGCGAAGTCTCTAAATTGAAAGAAAAAATAAAAATCACTCAACTTGTTTAATTTTCGTTTTTGGTGATTTTTAATAATCGCATTTTCATCCTCGCGCCTCTTTAAAATATTGTAATTATAATCAAGCTTCTCCACATTTAACATGCAAATTGCTTTCATTTGTTGAATTTGTTGTTGGAGTTTTTGTTGTTCAATTTCTAATTTGATTTTTTGCGCTCTATATTCCTCGTGATGTTCAATTCTCACTTGATTCATTTTAAGTTGAAATTCCTTCATGATTTCTTTTCTCTTTTCAATTCCTTGAATTTCATTTTCAGCGCGTTGATTGTATAAAGTCTCCCATTTTTTCGCCGATACTTCCAAGAGTGATTCCCTCTCCAATTGCAAAGTATTTTCAATGGCAGCCAATTCTTTGCGAAAGGATTTTGCCATTGTGTTCACCTAATTGCAATTTATTTTTTCATTCATCAATTTTGCCTTTGAAATTGAATTACTAAATTCAACGAAAAGAATGAATTTTGTATCTTTGAAATGATATCAAATTCGATTAATTAAAATTAAAATTAAATTCGACGAAAGAATTAATTTTGTCTTTGAAATTAAATTAAAGACAAAAAAATGAATTTTATATCTTTGAAATTAAATTCGACGAAAGAATGAATTTTGTCTTTAAAATTAAATTAAAGACAAAACAATGAAGTTTAGTTAATTCTTTTGTCGAAATTAATTTCGATGTTGGCACAAGAATAATAAAAAATCTAAAATTAGATTAAATTTATTTTTAGTTTAAATTGTTTTCTCAAAAGGTTTTCTAAGGGTTTGGAGAGTTGCCTTAATAATATATTTATTAAATTATTGAATAATTATTTACGTGGTGATCGATTCTGTCTATTAGAATATCAATGTCTTCGGTTTGTTTCTTGAGATCGAGGTGAAATTTCTCGTCAGCTATTTTTAGTTCTTTTTTTAAATTATCAATTGCCGAATCCTTGAGTGCAAGTACGGCGAGGCATTTTTCATTTTGTGTTATCATTTCCGAATGAATATCCAATGGATCCTTAGACTCGAGTATCGATGTCCATTTGCTATTAATTTCTTGATAACGTTCCATACATTCGCCGGCATTTTTCTCCAACATTTCTAGTAAATTCTGTCGAATTTCATTTTCCTTTGCTCGACGTTGCAATTCTCGGGCGTCATTGGCTACTTTTACATTCGTCACCTAGAATAAAATTGTATTAATTATCGTTCAATTAGAAATTCGATTACAAATTTAATTTCAATTCAATTACAAATTCAATTGCAATTCAATTACAAATTTAATTGAAATTCAGTTTAAAATTAAATTTCAATACAATTTCAATTTAATTTCCATTCATTTTATAAATTTTATTTCAATTCTATTTCCATATAATATGAATTTAATTTTACTGCAATTTAATTTTATTTTCAATTCAATTTCAAATTTAATTTCAATTCAGTTACAAATTTATTTTTAATTCAATTTCAAGATAATTTCAATTCATTTACAAATTTAATTTTTATTAAATTGCATTACATTTTCAATTCAATTGCAAATTTAGTGTAAATGTAATTTTAATATAATTTCAGTTGAATTTCAATTTATTTAAAATTTTTTATTTCAATTCAATTTTACCATAATTTCTATTTATTTTCAATAATACAGTTTCAATTTAATTTGGATTTAATTTAGATTGAAATTGATTGGTCAATTTTTCATTTGAATTGAAATTAAATTTCGAATTCAGTAATTCCATAACTAGGATTATAATAATAATATTACATTAATATTATTATAATAACTAATTATTATTCAGAAAATTATTTGTTTATTTCTTGCCATTCGGTTTCCATCGGTAATAAACTTATCCAATTGTTCGGCGCTTGTAAGAATTTGTTTTTCAGTATTAGTCACTTCCTCCTCCTCAATTTCCGACACTGAAACTTCTCTGAAATAATTACGTGTTTATTGTCCTAAAAATAGAAAATTATTTTTTTCGAACAAAAGAAAAAGAAAATTACTCCTTTAATGCCTCCTGACGCTTTTGAATTCTTATCCTCCGGGCTAATTTTCTTTCATTCGGATCATCGGACGTCACAGAAGGTTCTTCTGATTCATTAAAATTTTCTTTTGAATTCCCATCCATTTTATTAACCAAACTATAAACCTTTAAAACAAAAATATTTAATTCACTATATAATTGTTTTTTTCCCTTTTATTCTTTGAAGAAAGTTCTATAAAATCGAAGTAAATCTTTATTTTCAAAGTTTTCTAATTACTGTAATTATTTCGAGGTTATTTTTTTAGTTTACAGATCGGATAATAATTAAAAAACGTAACTATGACAACGGGTAACAATTTGAAAAATGTAGATAAAGAAGATCACTTCACTTATTGTGGATGTCGATAAAGTAGACAGCGTGAGGTTTCTACTTTTACCGGCAGGTGGCGACATTGTATTGATAAGTGAGGAGCGAACGCGTTGCAAGTGGCACAAGATGGCAGCTGTTATTCATCTCCGAGTGTCTCCGAGGAATAAGTTTATCGTTAACAAGAATTATTTTCGGTGAGTACAAGACCCCACGGCCTATTTTAAATTTTAATCTTCTCTTTATGAATTAACGAGTCACAAATTACGTTTATCTTTTAAGAACTTAACTCTTGCAATGACAAAGAGTCAAATTAATTTTGCTAAAAAAAATTTCTCGTTTCTAAAGATCATTTTTTCGCGTCTAATATTTCTCTAGCGGAAATTTCTTTGCCCTCATCCTCATGTACAAAGTAAAATACGTTGTTTGTCTATAAAACACTATATAATGAACGAACCGTACATGTTTACAGTATAGCAATGAGCAAGCAAATGACGAAACGAGGATGCGTACTACTTTCACGAGTCTTTAAAAGCAAAGAATTTGTTTAACTCAGAGAGGAAGTCCAAACGAAATCTTCTGCACGAAAGTCTCATTTGCAATTATATTTCGCATCGATTTCGAAAGGCATTTGTTGGATTTAAGAGGGGAAGGGGGGGGGGAGGTAACCACCAGCAGCAGTACAAGTGTCACCCGGGTGCGAAGAGTAAACATGAGAGTAAATACCCAGAGGCTGAGAGGAGGCTATAACAGGGAAATATAGAAACTGCTTGTTTCCGGAGCCTTGGGCCGTCAAAAGTTTCACAAGATGACTTCGAATTCGCTTTCTCTATATATTTGCGAACTAAACAACAAAAAAGAAACCACGGTATTATTCGCAAAATAAACGATGGAACTTGATACAAAAGAAAAAAAATAGGAAAAGGTGAGGTTATATGTCAACTTTTAAAATAGTTTCGTTCGTTTCGTTTTACAAAATATTTGCGAGAGGAAATTCTCTCGCCTTTTTAGATGAGACTAGATTTTTTTTCGTTTCTTGTTATTTAACTTGTAATCAAATATATATTGTTTGGGGGGGGGGGGGAATGAAACGTCGCTGTATCGACTTAACCTGAAATAATTTGTGCGTAATTCAGTATATATAAAGTGTCGACATTTTTGACTGTTTAGAAAGTTTATGTTGTTGAAATTGACACTCGTTCATGCGGAGTTCGTCGAACTTTAAACAAACAAAATGACATTCCGATCATTAAATTTAAATTTTATTGCATTTTCCCCTTTTTTCAAATTCTAAATATCGTAGAATTTCTTTTGGAATTATTATTTAATTTCGTATTTAGATTTCGCCCACACGGACTTAAGTTCATACGATGCAAGTCGATACTTTGATAAAAAAAAAATGACGTTTACAAAATATTTGTTTGTGTAATTAAAAACTATCGTCTTTCGATTTCATTTTACTCGGTAATATTCATTTCAAATTACATTTTTTTTTTCTTGCGGCAGAATCGGACAGGGAATTGGAACACCTGACGAAAGTATTTTTTACTTTTAAATTTAAAACAAATTTTTGTGAATGAAAAAGAAACAAACGAATTTATAGGTTATGTTTGTGTTAGATTTGATCGATTTGATTATAAAAGTTAATTTTTAATTATTTAAATTTGAAAGTATAGTTTTTATTGAATACAGAAATGGAATCAATTACTATTAGTAATAATTGATGTTCAATAATTAAACATCAATGATTTCTAATAGTAATTGATTAAAATTAAATTAAAATTAATTAAAGTAATTAAATTTAATTTAAATTAAAATACAGAAATAGAATCAATTGCTATTAGAAATCATTGATGTTTAAGAACATCAATGATTTCTAATAGTAATTGATTCTATTTCTGTATTTTTACTCCCAAAAATTATGAACATAACCTAAAATTTTTTGTTTCTTTCTTTCTTCGGCGCGCGTTATATATTGTGAATAATATTTAAAAATTTTTTATAAATTGATCGGATAACTTATTCTATATTTGAAGACTTGTATTGCTTGTCCGATTCTTTTTTTAATTTCAGAAATTCTTAGAATTTTTAAATTCTAATTTTTAAGAATTTTTATTTTTCTGTTTTTTTGTCATTTTTCTCGAAAAATTGGCAGTTATTTTAAACTTTAAATAATTTTAACTTTAAAAAACTGAAATTTAATAACAATTTAAATTCTGTGCAAAATGAATTGGAAAGAAAGGTTATTTTTTTAAGGAAACTACAGGAGATTTTGTATAGGAATGCTGGTAAAACTGAAGAAAGACGTAAATTTTGAAGAGGCTGAATCGTAAATAAATATTAAATTTCTAGGATATTATTTAAACATATATTATTTTATTGTTTTCTTTACTATGAAACGATTAGATATACAAAAATTTTAATAAAATTCTTGGTAAAATTTTAATTATTTACAAAAACTTTTCTCAATTTAATGATTTTTAATATCTACTATACTCTAACAAAAATTTCCAAATGAATTCAATTATTTAAAAAGAAATTTTAATAAAATTCGTCTCAAGAATTCAATTATTTTCAAAAATAATGTAATTCTTCGGAGAAATTCAATTAAGTTTAAAAATTTACTAAAATTCTCGTCAAAATTTCAATTATCTTTATAAATAATAAAATTTTTCTCCAAAATTCAATTATTTTCAAAAATTTTAATAAAATTCTTGGCAGAATTTCAATTTTTTTAAAATAGAATTTTCATCAAATTTCTCGAAAAATGAAATTATTCTTAAAAATTTTATTAAAATTCAGGAAAGAAATTCAATTATTTTAAAACTTAAGTTTTTAAAATATAAGTATTATTTTCAATACATTTTTAATTAAATTTCTTCAAAAAATTAAATTATTTTCATAAATAGTGAAATTCTTTGTAACAATAAAATTTTTACAAAATAATTTTTATAAAATTCTTTGTAAAAATTTAATTAATTTCAAAAATTTGTCAAAATTCGATTATTTTCAATGTCTACTATTACAATAAAATTTCATAAAAGAATTCAAATATTTAAAAAGAAATTTTAATAAAATTCGTCTCAAAAATTCAATTATTTTCAAAAATAATATAATTCTTCGCAAAAAATACAATTATGTTAAAAAATTTACAAAAATTCTAGTCAAAATTTCAATTATCTTTATAAATAATAAAAATTTTCTCCGAAATTCAATTATTTTCAAAAATTTTAATAAAATTCTTGGCAGAATTTCAATTTTTTTTAAGTAGAATTTTCATAAAATTTCTCGAAAAAGGAAATTATTCTTAAAAATTTCATTAAAATTTGTCAATAGAATTCAATTATTCAAAAATTTGTTGATAAAATTCTTTATGAAAATTCAATTTTAAGGAACATTCAATTATTTTATAAAATATTTATTTTTGTATTAAAATAATTGAATTCTCGTAAAATTTTCTAATAAACATTGATTTAAAAATGAATTTCAGTTAAAATTTTATATTATAATTGAATATTAAAAGCATCAAGCGTGAATTTTTTTTTTAGAAATAATTGAATTTTCAAAAGGTTTCAAATTAAAATCTTAAAAAATTTGAACTTTTTATACTTTTAATTAAGAATTCTGTAGAATTCTTTTTTCTCAAAAAGTTTAATGGATTTTTTTTTTTTAATTATTTGAAGTTTTTAATTTCTAATAAATATTTAATTGACGAATTTCCGAATAATCGATGAAATTTTGTAAAATTGAATTATAAACAAAAGGATTTGAAAATTCTCAAAGAACTTTTTGGAAAAATTTTTTTAAAAAATTGACTTAAAGAAGAATTATTTTAGTTGAAAATTCTAGAAAAGAATAATCGAAATGATGAAAATAATTTTTGAAGAACTTTACAGTAACAAAGTAGCAAGTTTTAATTATTATGAAATATGAAGAAAGCGATCACTTCGAGTCTTCGACTCGAAGTGATCATTATCTTCATGTTTTATAATAATATTCTTATATTTTATTGAATTTCAAATTTTTGAAAATCTTAATTCCTGTGGCAAAATAATGATTAAATATTTATTTAAAAATGAAGTTATATGCTTTTTAATAATTTTTCAATTAAAGAAATTCGTAGATAATTGAACATTTTTTTGTGCATCTAATCATTTTGCGAATGAATCAGATTATTCTTTCGAGTCAGAGAAAAAGTCAAAGTTTCGTCTAAAAATCAGGGAGTTATTTAATTTTGGTAAAATATAAATATAGTTTTAAAAATCTGGAAAAATTCCGTTTTTTTAAAGTCAGGGAAAAGAGCAAAAGCGTCGTGGCAACCCTGATGCTTGGATATTTTTTTTTCAACTTCGCACTTGAATGAAGTAATGAAAATTAGGTACATTTTCAATTCATAAGGTCCAAATAATAGATTTTGACGCTAACTTCAGGGACGTCAGTGAATATACCGATAACCGAAGAAAAAGACAACATAACCTATAAAGTAACTGAAGAAAGTACATTTGCCAGCGAATGCCACTTGATAATTAGGCAATTTTTACTAATTCAAATACATCCCAACGGGAAGTTGCCAATGTTAACGATTGGTTCAATAATGGGCCATGCTTGGTACCCAATGGTTTTTTCTTGGCAAAACAATTGGCAACCATCATTGGACCACCAATGGTTTAAACTTGGGATGATCACGCTACTGCCAATGATCGGTAGCCAAGCATCGGGCCAATATTAGTTGCCAAGGAATTGCCAAGGAAACAAAATCGATTTTCAAAAGCTTGATTTTTTATTGGCAGCCAACAAAAAACCAAGGTTTTGAAAATTTATTTTTTTTAATTATTAATTAAAATTTAAATTTATTTTTAAAAAATATATTTTTCAAAAATTTATTTTAAAAAAATATATTTTTTAAAAATATATATTTTTTTAAATTAAT